GGCCAAGGCAAGTGGATGGCTTAAGCTCAGGAGTCCAAGACCAGCCTGGCCAACATGGCAAAACCCATCTCTACTAAACATACAAAAATTAGCTGGGCCTGGTGCCACATACCTATAATCCCAGCTACTTGGGAGGCTGAGGCAGAAGGATCCCTTGAGCCCGGGAGGCAGAGGTTGCAGTAAGCTGAGATCGTGCCACTGCACTCCAGCCTGGGCAACAGAGTGAGGCCCTGTCTCAAAAAAAAAAAAAAAAATGAGAAAGAGAGAGAGAGAAAAAATATCAGTAGTAGAGATACAGGTTCTTTCTGGCATAACAAAATATTTTGGGGTATTTCAGATATATTTTTTATAAATAATTTCTAAGAGAAGTTCAAATCTAAATTTTCTTTTCAATAGTGATCTGAATTTGATTTTTAAAAATAGAATATGTTAGAATTTAATTCATTAGAATACTTTGTTTGCACTGTAACATTCATGTATAGTACAAATGTATCTTCTCACTGGTTTTGGATTTTCCTAAATCAGGAGAGTTTTGCCATCTTTTAAAAGGGTTTTCTGCGATCCCTGCTTACGATGCTGTCTTGATGGAGCCCCTGAATTAGAAAGGGATTTGCTGTTATCTGCAGAGGGGTGGCAGGTGATTTGCTGAGCTGCTGTGCTGGTACTTGGGACTCAGTGCAGGCTCAGAGTGCTTGTCTTTGTCCCAGTACCCTCAAGCAGAGAGTGCCTGCTTCTTAGATCTGCAGTGGGGTAGGGATTATTCTGGAAGCTTCTGCTTTTCCTAGCATCTGGTGCTCTATGACCATGGTCTTCAGTTACAGCAGTAAGAATGAATACTCTCCTAGCAAGGGTGGAGGGGGATAAACTCAGCAGAAGGAAGCCACAGAACATAGCAGGAGGCACAGGGAAATCAGCCTCAGGAGACTGGAGTTCTGATCCTGGACCTGCTGATGACCAGCCAGGCCAGGGGTCTGCAGACTGGGGCCTATCATTGTTTTGCTTTGTTTGTTTTAATAAAATTCTTTTGGAACAAAGCCAGGCTCAATTGTTTATGCCTCATCTATGGCCACAGCTGTCTTGTTACTAATGTAACAGCAGAGTTGAGTCGTTTCAACAGAGACAGTACAGCAAAGCATGCAACACTGGAAATATTCTCTGGCCCTTTGCAGAAAAAGTTTGTCAATTCCTGAGCAGACCTAGATCAGGGAAGTCTATTCACCCTCTGCAGCTCAATTTCCCCACCTAGATTGGGAAGGGGACTGGATTATACAAACCTCCATGTATCTGTGTGACCCCCATCTTTTCTACCTTTTTTTTTTTTTTACCTATTAACTCCCTTCCCACCTTACAACTAGAATGAACACCACCACCTTCTCTCCTTATTTCTTTTTGCAAGAATCTCAGCTGCTCTCCTGCTGAGTTATTTTTTCTCCCCCTTTTAGCACATATAGGACGTTAGGTCTGACATCGAACATCCTGTGTGTGCTATGTTAGATCCAACTGTTCTCCTAACTAGTCTACTTACGGGAACACTGAGGCCCAAGGAGAGGATGTGGTGGATGAAATCTTAGTTAGTTGGTTATTCAGTTGAATTCGCTAAAGCACACTCAATCTTTAATGGGCATACTTAAATGTGAAAAGGAGGAAAGTTACAGATGACTTTCATTAATGTTGACCCACCGTAGATATGAAATATCTGCCACTTTGCAGTTGTATAGTAAAGGGGTGTGGGATGTGTTGCTTTGGTCCGCCCTGTTCTGTGTTTTGGTCTGGTAGCTGGGAAGGTCTACTTATTCATGTGATTTTTAGACCTTATCAAACAGCCCGGCCAGGAGTGGGCCCCTGAGGCAGGGACTGTTCACATGTCTCGTTGATTCTCTTACTGATGGCTTCTTGTTGATGCTTGAACAGATGTGGGGATGAACTTGTGGAAATCAGTGATTCCCCCGTGCACTGCATGACGCTCAATGAAGTCTACACGATCCTGAGTCACTGTCATCCCGGTCCAGTCCCCATCATCGTCAGCCGACATCCAGACCCACAGGTAACACCCGCTGGGCCATCCTCTTCTTCTCAGGCTCACTCTTTCAATACCAAAACTGGAACAAGAGATAGATGGGAAAAAGGATGTTACTGGCTGGGTTTGGACCTGAATTCCCAAAAATCCCTTTCAGGTTTCTGTGATAAGAATTGTCTGCAGCAGAGGTCCACGAACAAACTCCTAGATATCAGAGGCAATTGACATTAACTGAGGGAAGCTCTGACAGCTGAGTTATAAGCTCTAGGGCAGGAAAATGGAGACCCCAGGTCCCAGATAGCAGATGCAAGAGATGTCTTCATTTGTGCATCTAGTAGGTACCCACTGTGGAAATGTCTGGAGGTAGGCACTGAAGATACAGAGATGAGTTCATAGCACACAGTCCTGCCCTGCAGAAGCTCATGGTATCAATAAAGAGCCTGACATATAAGTAATTGCAAAACAGAGATGGTAAGTCCTATGGAAATACAGGAATATAGCAGAGAATGGCTTATAATGTAAAAAAAAAAAAAAAAATCCAGAGGTTAGTTTTCTCCAGGCAGAGAATAGAAGGAAGATCATTCCAGGCAGTGGGAACAAAAAGTTCAGAGTTACAGAGTCATGAAGGGACCCGACATGAAAGGAGAGGGGTGGGTTTTGTGGGGCTGAAATGTAGGGTAGTAGGTGAGAATGACTGAGAACAGAGGTAGGCATAGCATTGGGGTTACACTGCAGAGGGCTTTCAACAGGATACAAAAGAGCTTGCGTTTTCTTCTGCATAGTGAGGAGCTATGGGAGGACTGTAGCTGTAGATGAGGCATGTTTGTATTTTAATTTTGTAACCTTTGATTGCAGAAGACAGGATTGAGTGGTGGAGGGTGGGGTTTGTAAGAAGAAGGAAGCAGATGGTGAGATCCTGAACTACACAGCAGCCATGGGAAGAGAAAAAGGAAGGGACAATGTATTAGTCTGTTCTCATGCTGCTGATAAAGACATACCTGAGACTGGGTAATTTATAAAGAAAAAGAGGTTAATGGACTCACAGTTCCATGTGGCTAAGGAGGCCTTACAGTCACGGCAGAAGGTGAAAGGCACATCTTACATGGTGGCAAGCAAGAAGAGAATGAGAGCCACGTGAACGGGGAAACCCCTATAAAATCATCAGATCTTGTGAGACTTATTCACTACCACGAGAACAGATGGGGGAAACTGCCCCATGATTCCATTATCTCCCCCAGGTCCCTCCCACAACACATGGGAACACAGCCAGATCATATCAGGCAACAGGAGGCAGTGCTTGGGATGACTCAAAAGAGCTGCTGGCCAGGTGGTTCTGGGGTAAGAGAGGGAGGAGCTGAGGATGTCTCGAATATTTTGAGATTGGAAGATGAAGCAATGGTCTTTCACCAGAAGAGAGGAGGAGAAGGTAGCAAGCTTGAGGGGAGAGAAGAGCATGATCTTTGTGTGGGACATAGTGAGGCGGAGGTGCCATGGGGTGTCCAGGTAAAGATGCCCAGTAGGCAGGTTAGACTTAGGGCTGATAGTAGCTGTTACAGGTACCCAGGCTGAAGTCAGACTCGGGGGTTGAGGCCCCGCTGCAGGTAGGAGCTCCGGGGAACTTGGAATAATCACCACCACGAATTAGTTAATCCTTAGTGTGTGCCAGGCATGTTTTCCAAAGATGTGACCCACATAAGCGCATTTAGTTGCTGTGCAGCCCCCTGAAATCAGTGTGATATTTCCCCCCACCAACTCACAGATGAGGAAACTGAGGCTTAGAAAGGACAAAGAAGTCTCCCAGTGGTGAAGCTACTAAGTAAAGAACTACGATGTAAATCCAGTAAAGCCTGTGCTGTGAACTCACTGACTCCCAAACTCCCAGTGACACGTGGGCGGAGTGGAGTCATGAGGAAGATCAATATTAATGGTGTGGTGGAATTCAAACCCAGTCCCGTTCCGTGGATGGCACACTGGGGCTAAACACACCAGAAACAAGCAAACTTCCTAACTCAGGCAAGCAAATATTTGGCCTAAATCTCTGGGCAGTACAGGAAAAGAAAGAGGTCCCAATTAATTGACCAGTGCCTCTTGCTGATTTCGGGACTATGGCAGAACATCAGTAGAGTAGGGGTCAGGCTGGGGGCAAATGCTGTGGCCCTGGGCTTAAGGAGTGTGCGTTCCGGCCAGATAGATGGGACATACACACAGGCCATAGAGGTGAGGGCCTTGACAGTGAGGGCGCTGGGGTTCCAGCAGCTCAGATAACAGAGCCAGGCCAGAAAGGACAGGTCAGGTTTAGAGTGACAGAAAGGCAAAGGCACCCTAGGCAGGGCAGATACAGGGGCACAGACACAGGGCAGAGAGAAGAGAGGTGGGGCCAGCAGCAGGATGCCTGGCACACGTCCAGTCAGCTCTTTGCTTATGGTGACCTTGGATAACTCATCCAACCTTCAAGAGCCTCTGGTTCCTCAACTCTGACATGGGAGAGGGGTCTTTACCTTACCGGATTGACGTGAATGGTAACTCTTCTCTATTAATCATTTATCATCTGCCAGGCATTGTGCCCAAGACTTTAAATGATTTATCTATTATTGACTATTGTGGTAAAATACACATAACATCAAATTTACCCTCTTAACCGTTTTCTTTTCTTTTCTTTTCTTTTCTTTTCTTTTCTCTCTCTCTCTCTCTCTCTCTCTTTCTCTCTGTGTCTCTCTCTCTCTCTCTCTCTCTCTCTCTGTCTCTCTCTCTCTCTCTCTCTCTCTCTCTCTCTCTCTCTTTCTCTCTTTCTTTCTTGACGCAGTTTCACTCTTGTTACCCAGGCTGGAGTGCAATGGCGCGATCTTGGCTCACGGCAACCTCCGCCTCCTGGGTTCAGGCAATTCTCCTGCCTCAGCCTCCTGAGTAGCTGGGATTACAGGCACACGCCACCGTGCCCAGCCAATTTTTTGTATTTTTAGTAGAGACGGGGTTTCACCATGTTGACCAGGATGGTCTCGATCTCCTGACCTCGTGATCCACCCACCTCAGCCTCCCAAAGTGCTGGGATTACAGGCGTGAGCCACCACACCTGGCCAACCATTTTCCAAGTGTACAGTTCAGTGGCATCAAAGACATTCTCATTGTGCAGCCGTCACCACCACCCATCTACAGAGCTCTTCCTATCTTTCAGAATTTAAACTCTACCCATTAAACAAGTCGCTGTGTTCTCTACCTGCAGCCCCTGGGAATCACCAATTTACTTTCTGTCTCTGTGATATTGACCTCTACGTTCTTCACAGAACTGGAATCATATAATATTTGTCTTTTTGTGTCTGGCTTATTTGACTTCACATAATATCCTCAAGATTAATGTTGTAGCACATACCAGAATTTCCTTCCTTTTTAAGGTCGAATAATATTCGAGTGTGAGTGCGCATGTGTGTGTGCGTGCCTGTGTGCACATGTGTGCATGTGTGTGTGCGCGTGCATATGTGTGTGTATATGTGTGTGCGTGTGTATCACATTATGTTTATCTGTTTGTGGGTACTTAGGTTGTTTGCACCTTTTGACTGTTGTGAATAATGCTACAATGAACTGGAGTACAGATATCTCTGATACTGACTTCACTTCTGGGGTATACACCCGGAAGTGGAATTGCTGGGTCATATAGTAATTCTATTTTTAAGTTTTTGAGGAGCCTTCAAACTATTTTCACAGTGGCTACACCATTTTACATTCTTATCAACAGCACAGGAGGTCCGGTTTCTCCATATCCTTGCCAACATTTTGTTCTGTTCTTTTCTCTTTTTTTTTGAGATGGAGTCTCAGTCTGTCACCCAGGCTAGAGTGCAGCAGCACAATCTGAGCTTACTGCACTGGGCTCAAGGGATTCTCCTGCCTCAGCCTCCCCAGTAGCTGGGATTACAGGTGTGCGCCACCACGCTGGCTCATTTTTGTATTTTTGGTAGAGACAGGTCTCACCATGTTGGTCAGGCTGATCTCAAACTCCTGACCTCAAGTGATCGGCCTGCCTCTGCCTCCCAAATTGCAGGGATTGCAGGAGTGAGCCACCGTGCCCAGCCTCTTGGCTTGTTCATAGTAGCCATCCTAATGTCCTCGTGTGTGAGGTGGTAACTCAGCATGGTTGTGATTTGCATTTACCTAGTCATTAGTGATGTTGAGCATTTTTTCATTAGCTTTTTGGCTGTTTGTGAATCTTTTAAAAAGAAATGTCTATTCAGGTTCCATGCCCAGTTTTTAACCAGGTCGTTTTATTGTTGTTGTTGCTGCTGCTGAATTGTAGGAGTTCTTTACATATTCTGGAGCTCAACCGTTTATGTGAAATATGCTTTTTGCAAATATTTTCTCCCATTCCATGAGTTGCCTCTTCAGTCTGTTGATTATGTCCTTTTGATGCACAGCAGTTTTTCATTTTTATATAATCAGTGTGTCTATTTTTTTGTTTCTTGTACTTTTGATGTCAAATAACTTACCTTTTAAAAATCTGTCCTCATTGTTAAGTGGGTTTTACTGTTGTTATTATCTTACAGAAGGAAGAGATGGAGGCTTAGGAGGCTAAGTAATTTGTCTAGGTGTACATACCTAGACAGTAGAGGAACTGGGACTAGAACACAGGCCTGTTTGACTCTAAGACTCATACTCTTAACTATTACTCCAAAGTGATAATGAACTGTGAGTCATAAGACACACAGTATAAGAGTGATTGTGATGACGATGACATTGTTGATGATGAGGTCATGACAGCATTGCCATGAATGGACTAGCTCATAGAGGTAACCTATGAAATGGGAACTTGACCTAGAATTTTGATCAAGTAGTGGGGAGAAAGTTGGAGAGTTAAAGGGGCCTCCTTGGGAACCCCTGCATTGATAGACTTTGGACTTTATCTAGAAGATACTGGGGAACCATTGATTCCCAGGGTACTTCTGGAAATGGAATTTGTCAGCTATTTACAGAGTGAGTTGAAAGGAAAAATAATATCTGGAATGTAGCAGCCCAGCTTGGGAGCTGGTACAGGGCTGGGAGCCTGATGCAGGAGCTTCCACTGTTTGAGGAGATGATTGACATTTTCTAGGTCTCTGAACAGCAACTCAAAGAAGCTGTGGTCCAGGCGGTGGAAAACAGCAAGTTTGGAAAGGAGAGGCATCAGTGGAGTCTGGAAGGTGAGACAAACGGTGAACTCTGATGTAAAATATCTTTGCCTTCTTAGAAAGCTTAGGATTTATCCGCTAACTCATCCTCTAGCCAAGGAATAGTAACAGAAGTTATGATAGACCAGCATAGTACGTAGACAAAGACTGAAAACTAGCAGCGCCCCCAGCTAAAGTTAGGTTATGTTTTTGCTTTGTTTGGAAGACACAGCATTTTAAAAGCAACTGAATTTGAACTGTTGCAAATGTGCCGGGCTCTCTCCAGCTCCCAATTCCCTTTATCATGTACTGAGTTGCCATGCACACAGTTGCCCCTGTAGGTATTTGAGTTTGCAACCCCTAGTCTATAATAATAGAATATTGGAAAAATTAACATTTGGGAATATAATTCTGATATTTATTGACTTCTTATGATGTCAGACACTGTGCTAATTCATGCATTCACACATAATTTTTATGCACATTTTGTAAGAAAAAGTGAGGCCTTTAGGCCGGGCGGGGTGGCTCATGCCTGTAATCCCAGCACTTTGGGAGGCCGAGACCGGTGGATCACAAGGTCAAGAGATCAAGACCACCCTGGTCAACAAGGTGAAACCCTGTCTCTACTAAAAATACAAAAATTAGCTGGGCATGGTGGTGCACATCTGTAGTCCCAGCTACTTGGGAGGCTGAGGCAGGAGAATTACTTAAACCCAGGAGACGGAGGTTGCGGTGAGCCGAGATCAGGCCATTGCACTCCAGCCTGGGTAACAAGAGCAAAACTCCGTCTCAAAAAAAAAAACGGTGAGGCCTTTAAAGACTCTCTTACTCAAAGATACAGCACTAGAGCACAGAGGCTGTGGAATGGAAGTCCAGCTGGCTTGACTCCCATGCCCAGCCACTAGGCGTTCATCAAGTCATCATGGAACATCCCTATGATAGAACAACATGCAACCATTGGCACTGATATCAACAAGAAACTGATCTGAGAAAGTGTTCAGAGAGAAGAACAGAACACAACATTTTATTTCAGCTCTGGTCCACTGTTTCCACATACCCAGCACGCCTATATGCTCAGGAAAGCATGACAGAGAAACTCGCCAACGTTTTGACAGTAGTGATTTCTGGATGATAGAAACACAGGTGAAGTGATTGTTTACTTTCGTTCCTCTTGTGGCTGTTTCCTCTAAGGAGGATGCATTATCTTTAATGATCAGGAAAAAGCATAGGAAAACTTTTTATGTAAAGAGAAAGTGAGTCAGGAGCCGGGCTGGCCTTGGTTCTCTCTCGTGGGGCTCCCCTGGCTTTCCGAGTCTCTCGGCATAAGCTGGAACTTGAGCAAGAGACCAGGCTTCAATTTTCTCCCACCCCCTTGAGCTGTGATTTTAGGGCGGTTTGAGAAGGTCCTCTCAAGGATGTGTGGGTAGCCCTAGTGCTGGAAACCACGGTAGGGGGTTTCCTACCAGGAAGGGCCAGTAGGGAGGGAGGGAGGTGCAGTGGCTAAGAACTAGTGGCTTTCTGCCCTCACCTCACCCTCAACTGGAAAGAAATGGTGACTTCTTCATATAAGATTCAAAGTCCCTTGACAGGTAGTTTCTCTATCTTTGTTAGTAAGCCTCAGAATAAGCCCAGTGACTTTAGAATTATCATCTGCATTTTACAGACGCAGAAATGGAGTTGGTTATCCTGGGAAGCCGACTCTGAGATGGAATTTTTATTAGGAAGCCTGTTTCTTAGGAAGTGTCCTGGGGATCACTACCTGTGGCAGAGAGGAGGAGTACAGGCAGGTAGACCGAGGGAGGATGGAGCTGGGATGCACGCCCTACAGCTTCAGCCAAGCCCTGGAGCTCTGCAGCTAGAGTCCCCATTAGTGTTGTCCTGAGTTGGCCAACACGGCTGGGCCTTTGTAACCCTATCTCCAGCAGTCCCTGGAGATGGGCTGCCTGCCGTGGGTCCCTAGAAGGACCCATGGCTGAAAGTAGTCTACCAGCAGCACTCCCCACAGCTGGGACTCCAAGCCCTCCCTCGCTGGGTGATCTGGGGGGCATAGCTCCATATCCATCACTCACAGGCTCAGAAAGCTTGAATGATTTTCCCAACCCACAGTCAGACAGCTCACCGGGGTCCAACACCAAGACTGCCACACTCCAGATCCAACGTGGCCTCAGATGAGACAGCTGTGTACAGTGTGATGCCTGCAGCAGCACAGGCGAGCCCGGGGGTGTTTTTTCATCTTCTGATGCTCAGCTGTGAAGATTCCTTTGTGCTTCCCCCACAGGTGTCAAAAGGCTGGAAAGCAGTTGGCATGGGCGGCCTACCTTGGAGAAGGAACAAGAGAAGAACTCAGCGCCCCCGCATCGCAGGGCTCAGAAGATCATGGTCCGCTCCAGCAGTGACAGCAGCTACATGTCTGGGTCCCCAGGGGGAAGTCCCGGGGGCGGCAGTGCTGAGAAGCCGTCCTCCAACGTGGACATCAGCACTCACAGCCCCAGCCTGCCCCTGGCACGGGAGCCAGGGGTGCTTTCTGTAGCATCCTCCAGGCTGCCCCAGGAGAGCCCGCCCCTCCCAGAGAACAGGGACAGTCACCCACCGCTGAGAATTAAGAAATCCTTTGAGATTTTGGTGAGAAAGCCTACGTCCTCCAAGCCCAAGCCTCCGCCCAGAAAATACTTTAAAAGTGACAGTGACCCTCAGAAGAGTCTAGAAGAGAAAGAGAACTCGTGTGCTTCTGGGCACACCCTGCCCACCTGTGGCCAGGTAAGAGGATGGGTCCACAGGTTGAGTGTTTCCAGCACCAGACTCAAATCTTGAGTATGGGCTGTAATGTTAGCAGGGGCAGAATGAAGGTTCCTCCTGCTCCACCAGAGAGAAGCTGATGCATAGGTCTCAGCCTAGGACTGACTGTGGAAAGTGGGTTTGAAGGTTGACAGATAATTGAAGTCCCAGTCCTGCTTGCTGGCATCTGGGCTCCCATCCATAACACACTGGAATTTTTTGTATATATCCTTTAAGTTCTGGGGTACATGTGCAGAACATGCAGCTTTGTTACATAGGTATACACATGCCATGGTGGTTTGCTGCTTTTCCGGTGTTATTTTTCACTCTCACCATGAAGGAAAAATACCAGGGCCTCCAGAGGGCCGCTCTGTGATGGGGGAGGCACCTTTGCATGTGGGTCTTTGAGTGTCCTGCCTGCAGGGAGAATAGTGACTTAAGTAACTAAAAAGGGACAAGAGTTGGTTACCCTGCTTCCTGTGAGCGGGCTGATGTGATTGTGAGAAACTGGCTCCTATTTCTTCCCCAGTTATCTTTGCCTCCTCACTCTTTTAGGTGTGGAGGCTTGGGGGGACCCCAGCAGTCTGTTAATTGGGGCTGCCTATAGTGCTCCCTGCAAGGGTGATTGTGAGGATTAAAAGTAACCTCTTAGGAGAAGTACCTGACGGTGTCACAGGCATATTAGCGTTCATTGCCGTGATCTTCCCCGGTCAGGCTCCTTAAAGACCTCCTTCCCACCCCTTGCACAAAAGGCAGCCATTTTTATGCACAGGCACTATACATGAAGAGTACTTTCATGTACACTGTGTCAATTCAATCTTACAGTGACCTGAGAGTGAGAGTCCCGATTGGGCAAAGAGGGAACTGAGAAACTTGCTCAAGTTCACATCGCTAGTGGGTCACAGTTACCCACTATGCCACGCTGAAGGTCCCAGGCTTACCCAGAAGCTGCCTTCCCTGGGCAGGTGGGAGGGGGCCTCTGCAAATCCCCTAGAGCGATCTACAGTGAGTGTTGGCAAGCTTCAGGAGGGGTGTTGGTGGAGACAGGAAGTTGAGCAGGAGGGGTGAAAGTGAAGGAGGGAAGGGGGAGCCAGGTTACTGAAAAGGAAGTACAGTTTTGCAGAGCGCTGGCAGGATGTGGTTGGTTAGCTACACATGATGGAGCTGTCAGGTGGATTGTCCTCCCATCCCCTCTTTTAAGCCCATATTTCATTTTCCCTTGGACCTGACATCTATGAGTCTAGAAGGGCAATCAGGAGCCACCAGCTGAGAAGCCAGTCATTTTGCCTTCCTCCTGGAGGCCCAGAAAAGGACAAGTGCAGTTGCCACAGCAGGTCTGTCCCAGTGGGTGATGTCCTCAGCAGAGCCGCATAGGGGCAGGGAGTATTCCCCAAGTAAGGCATCTGGAGGAGGAACTGGGATGCCCTCAGGGAAGCCCGGGCAGGGAGCTTCCCCACGGGTCATCTTTGGTGCCCTGTGTGCCTGGGCAGATATCAGGGCTCTCTCCTGCACCCACCCCAGCAGCACTGTCTCCTGGAGACACAGGCCGTTCTGCAGCTGCCCTCCTCTGCCTGCTCTGTCCCACGTGGCCAGCAGATCCTTCTCCCACAAACATTTCCATGAAAACAATCAGCTCGACATACTTTTATTGGGCACTGGGGAGGGGTCAAAGAGAAAGGATCATAGCACGCAGTAGAAAACAGGAAGCCATTTGCTTGAGGTCACTCCTAAAATTTCCTTGGCCATTCCTGAGGATTTCTCACTGGGTGTTTTCTCCCATGGCCACGGTGTCCACGGTCTCACCCTTCCACCTTCCCTCCCTGCAGTGTTTTCTCTCCAGGGCCCCAAGACTGTTGTCAAGTTGCTATGGATGACCCCCAAATCTTTCCCATCTACTCTAACTCAAGGGGACTGAACTCTCACAACCAAAATGAACTTTGGACATTTTCTTCAACAAAAAAAATCACATTTCTCTTATAGAAAATCAGCTTAAACTCTCACCTGCGCTTAAAACAATTCCAACACACAACAGGATTCTTAGAAGAAAAAAACATATTTCTCTCCCTTCTATGCTGCATCCACTCTGTCCTCCTTTCCTTCTTTCCCTTCTTCCTCCTTCATCCACCAAGCACAGTTCCAGGAAATGCTAGTAAGAGAAAACTTTGTGTAAAATCAAATTGATTTCAGGGGCTAATTTTGAAGCCTCCCATGAAGAGGATACAATATTAGATGTGTTGATGAAAAGACAAAATATATCTGTGTCTGTTCCAAGATGTGACACTGCATTGACTGCAGTTGGTGACATGTATGCCTGCCTGTAAAAGCGCTAACAATTCGTGAATGTCAACAGCTGTCAACTTACAGTGCTCCCAACTGGGTGAAATGAAATTTCATCCACATGTCATTTCTCTTGTGGACGAGAGTCTTAGAGATCATCAGACCAATATTTTAAGCTTCTAATGCCATGACTCAGCCTTACTTTTTCAAAGGCTAGTTCGAGAAGTCCCGTGATTCCTTTGAAATTGGTTGATCTCTCAGTATTTCATAATGCTCTCCTAACGCTCGGTTCTTCCATAGAGAACCTGAACAATCTCTGTGAATACTGTTCTAACTTTTATAGACCTTTCCTTCCCAAAATGTTTACTGTCAGTGTAGATCTTAAATTTCAGGTCATGGTCATTTCCCATTTCTTTTTTAGTCCCAAATGATGCCTTTGTTCCTTCTTCTCTCCTTCCTCTCTGGAAGGAGGCCTGCAGCCATGTCAGATGGCCCATCATTACACAAATCTGGAATTAACCAGAGGTGGCATCCACCAGAGTACAGCAAAGTATTTCTCTTGCAGATTGATCAAATACAGGTGGCATTATTTTGATGCTGTCTGCCTTCTCAGTCTTCTTTTTCCGGGTGGGTATCATGTTTGGCTGGGCTGTGTCTCTGGAACACTCTTCTTCTGGCTCTCTGCCTGGAAAATTCTTACTCTGTTTATGAAGCAGACAGAAAGCCCTTCTCCATCTCTGGATAGAACTGGTCTCTCTGTTTTCTCGGGGCCCTGACAGTACCTTAAGCACACTGCGATAATCCAAACTCTTCAAGTGTTGCACAGCTATTCCCAGCCTGGCCCATCTTGTCCTTGGGCTGTATTGGGAGGGACCCAAAGCTGCATCCAGGCTCATTGGTGGAAACAATTCTGCAACAGATTGATGATGTCACCTTCGGTGCCACAGAGGGGAGCAATGGCACAGATGCTGAGTATCTGTCATCCTTCCCAGAATGTTTACTAAATATTCGAAGAGTACTGACCAAGTGACAGCAATTGACAAGCATTTTTCTCTGAGTGCTCTAACATTGAGGAGCACTAGCTGGTGGGTTTTTAGCCACCTTTTTTCAACACTGCCCTGTACCCTCCTGGGGTGGGTAGTTCACCAAGATGCAGCTGTAACTGAAGCCATGCCAGTCCCCTCCACACTCAAAGCCTTTTGTTCCTGTCACAAAGAGCCAGGGTCTTCGCGTATGTCCACAGTATGAGCCCATGTCCTGAAAACCAGGTTGCTCGGAGTCAAGGGCTGTTCTGTGTGTCTAGGAGATGCTGGCTCTGCCAAGCATCAGACCAAGGAGAAAAGAACCCTCTTTACAAGGCTGCTGATGAACTTCTCATTGAAAGCAGCTCCGTATCTGTTTTTCCATCCCAATCAAAGCATGTCTCGCCTTCTCAAGGCTGAAGGCTACCGTTTTGACACGGTCTCGCTTCCTGTTTACACCACAGGAAGCCAGAGAGCTGCTGCCACTGCTGCTGCCACAGGGAGACACAGCAGGGAGAAGCGCTAGTGCCTCTGCCAGCTGCCCAGGACCTGGTGTTAGCCCACAGACCACGTCCTCCACAGAGGACGAGCCAGGGCAGAGAAGAGCCAGCCCAGGTAAGCTTCCAACGAGATCTTCCAAAAGGAAGGGTCTTTTGAAAAAAGGTGCAGGGATAAGATAAGCACATGATTGGCCTGAGGATCAGCATGCTTTGCATTGACTCCACCGCGGGACCTGGCTGATCAACAGTCAGGAGTCCTGGGTGCTGGGCAGCAGCACTGGAGGTGCTGTCCAGGTTGTGGAGCCTCCCAGGTAGACGGGTGATGCTGTGGGAGTGGCAGCAGGCAGGCAGGCCATTCTGGATAGTCAGGAGGATGGAGCCCTCAGAAGTCCAAAGGCATGCCCACCCAGCCATCCTGGGCCGCTGCTTCTAGGGTACCCACATTCCAGTTGCAACATTCCTGCTGCATTCAGGATTTCTGAGTCAGAGACTGCAGTGCCAGAAAAGTATAAATAGAATTTGCCAGTGGTCACTTCTTTCATGAAGTGGATGGCAAGGGTGCACCCATGTGGTATACCTGGCAATGCTAAGACACGGCTTGAATATTTAGTCTCTTGCTAGGGAGAGCATAGGACTTGGAGTCAGGGAATCCTGTGTCTGTCCATCATTAGCATGACTCTGAGCAACGTGCTTTGCCTTTCTGAGCCGATCCACTCATCAGCAATGTGTGGAAGAGCACATGGGCCCCCCAGCATATGAGGCGCTCAGAAAGCACACGCTGAATGCTGGCTTCGTGAGGTCCTGTGCTAGATGCCAGGGAGAGCAGGAAAGGGATGAGATGGGTCAGGTCCTGCCTCCAAGGAGCAAGTAGTAGGTGGCAGAAAATAAACATACAGGCTCTACCGCATATGACTATTTGAGAAACTCTACAGGGAAAGTCCATGAAAGCCTTTTGGAGGGCGAAGGGACATTTTGGAAAGATCTAGCACATCTCGCCCAGAGCAGAGGCCTGTGGGGGCAGCTCCTTTCACTTCCCTTAGTCACCCTCATTGAGGAACATACTAGCGAAAGCAAATGCCTCAGTGTTGAACTGGCAGGAGCTTGTCACCCCAGTCTGTAGCGGGCTTGACTGTGGAACCTCTGCCTCCTGATTCTCACAACAGCCTCTTATAGCCAAGCCATTCAGAAACGCAGAAACAGGCTGGAGGGCTGGGCTCACTTGCCAAAGGCCAGCCTCTTGGAACGTGCAGTATTTCTCTTTGATATCATCGAGGTGTAATGCTCCACAGGATTCCCTTCTTTTGAAACCTGGCATTGAGACAAGGGGCAGGAGGGATCAGAGTTCCTTAAACTGGGTTGCGTTCCAGTAGCAAGCATCACTCAGAGCACACAGGGCAGCCTCCCTCTGCTCCTGGGAAAGAGAGCTGGGGCACAGTCTCCCCTACCCACACAGATGTGATGCTGGTTCAATGCCGGCTTCTGAGAAAGGCTGCTGTGTGCTCCAGGGCACACCTGAGGTCCTGGCTGGCACAGAACAGGCTGCACATTGCAATCCCCTGCTTATCACATGCCCAGCACCCAGGCTGCATCCCGGGTATTTTCAATCAGTACCTAGGGGTGGGCATCAGTATTTTTAGGACCCTCCAGAGTCCAGTGTGTAGCCAAGATGGAGAATCCTTGGCACAGATTTCTTTGTACCTGGAACCTTTTCATCAGCTCTTGAGGGAGGGAAAACACTCCTTTGCTGAGCAAGCTGATCAATGACCTGCGTATAGGGAGAGCGGCAAACACAGTTTCAGGGCCAGGCAGTTGCATACGTGGGAAATGCCAGCTGGGTGAGAGGGAGTGTGAGGAGCTGTGGGTAGCTACGGTGGCCTCATTGGAAGGTGTACACAGGTGCCGTGCTTTTTTTTTTTTAATTTCTCTTTATTATTGAATTGTTGATCCTTTTCTTTTGTCTAATTCATAGTACCTCCATCCTCAGCTTTCTGATTTTTTTTTTTTTCAAGACGGGGTTTCACCATGTTGGTCAGGCTGGTCTTGAACTCCCAAACTCAGGTGGTCCACCCACCTTGGCCTCCAAAGTGCTTGGATTACAGGCATGAGCCACCACGCCCGGTCAGGCGCTGTGCCTTTTAACAACATGGGTAGGCCCAAGCACAAACAGCTGCCAACTTGTGACCTGTGTCTTAAAAGTTTAAACAGTGAGAGAATTGCTTTGGCTTTTCCACATTTGACACGGTATCTTGGAGGCTCCTTAGTGCAGTAGAAAGGACGTAAACTTTGAGAGTCAGGAGACATGGCACTGCCATCAGATGGCCCCTTACCCTTCTTGAAATGTAAAATGCCAGAGATCAGCCCAGATGTTCTCTGAGTGACCTTCCTGGCCTAGACACTAGGAAGCCATGAGGTTAATTCCTGCTTCTGGCTCTTCACTGCTGCCTGTTGGCAACTCAGTCGGGTAGTAGACCTGGAGCTCACCCACCTGGTGTCTCCCACTTCTGCCAATCTCCTTCTCTTGAATCCATCTTGCTGTTCAGCTTGGAAACTAGAATTTAGGGAGAAATATCACAGTATGATGTAACGCACAGCTTTTGGCCTCGTTTCTGCACATAGTGACCCAAACATCCCCGATAAAACACCCACTGCTTAAGAGGCAGGCTCGGATGGACTATAGCTTTGATACCACAGCCGAAGACCCTTGGGTTAGAATTTCCGACTGCATCAAAAACTTATTTAGCCCCATCATGACTGAGAACCATAGCCACATGCCTCTCCAGCCCAATGCCAGCCTGAGTGAAGACGATGGGACACAGGGCCACCCAGATGGGACCCCACCAAAGCTGGAGACGGCCAACGGCACTCCCAAAGTTTACAGGCCAGCAGACAGCAGCACCGTGAAGAAGGGTCCCCCAGTGGCTCCCAAGCCAGCCTGGTTTCGTCAAAGCTTGAAAGGTTTGAGGAATCGTGCTTCCGACCCAAGAAGGCTCCCTGATCCTGCCTTGTCTGCCCAGCCAGTGCCTGCTTCCAGGGAGCACCCGGGACCACACACCCAGGCTTCCTCATCCTCCATCAAGCAGAGAATTAGCTCCTTCGAAACCTTTGGCTCCTCTCAATGGCCTGACAAAGGAGCCCAGAGACTAAGTCTACAGCTCTCCTCTGGGGAGGCGACAAAACCTGTTGGGAAGCATGAGGGAGGTCGGCTTCCTGGACTCTTGGGCCGAGGGGCTGCACCCACTCTTGCACCTCAGGAGACTGAGCAAGTGCTGCCCTCGGGGTCTCCTGCAGCCTCCGAGGCAAGAGACCTAGGTGTGTCTGAGTCCCCTCCCCCAAGGCAGCAGCCCAGTGAGAAAACTCTTCCTCCTGGCCCGGACCCGCTCCTGAGGCTGCTGTCAACACAGACTGAGGAATCTCAAGGCCCAGTGCTCAAGATGCCAAGCCAGAGAGCACGGAGTTTCCCCCTGACCAGGTCCCAATCTTGTGAGACGAAGCTCCTGGATGAAAAGACCAGCAAACTCTACTCTATCAGCAGCCAAGTGTCATCGGCTGTCATGAAATCCTTGCTGTGCCTTCCATCTTCTATCTCCTGGGGCCAGACTCCCTGTATCCTCAAGGAAGGGGCATCTCCAACATCATCATCCAAGGAAGACTCAGCTGCAAATGGTTTGGCCGAAACATCTGGCTCGGACACGGGGTTCTCGCTCAAGTGAGTTTCTATACCCGGTGTTTCTCTTCACCTTTCTCATCTTTTTCTTTCTCACCTTTCTTTTTAAAAATAATTCTATATATCATTCAAAACATTTCTCAGATATGCTGGCTAAAGGACTGTTTTGCCTCTTTACATGTGTGTGCAGATGTGTGTGTGTGTGTGTGTCTATAGGTATTACACCTGTGCCTTCCATATTAAGGAGGAGTTTTCACAACACCGGGCTTCAGGAGGACTGGGAGGTAGGGGAAGGGACTAGCTCCCTGGTGAATTGCTCATGGGGGCTGTTGCACGCCTGTGGAGGTTTGGAAGGCTGATGCACATCTAAAATGTCCTGCGGTTACTCAGAAAGACCACAGTGAGGCCAGGAGATTATCCATCGGGAATTCTTACTGCTCTCCAAAAGGAATCCACTTGTACTCTGCACATGGGTTCAACTCCCCGGTCAGGGAGTTAGGATGTCTGGGTCCTAGTCCCAGCTCAGGCACTGATTCTGACCATGAGCAGGTTCCTTCCATGCTCACCCTCAGACTCCTTTTCAGCTGAAATTAGGAGGTGGATGAACCTGCTTTGTAGAACCAGAGGACTGTCAGAGGTACCATGGGCTCCTGCTGTAGGGATGGAGCTTGGTCTTCCCTCTGATCAAACTAGCTCTGCATTTATTGGTTGCATTTATTGTTCTTATGCTGCTGGGAAATATCTGTAAAGAGATCTACTCATAGATTTGTCACATCAAATAATACGCACATAAATGCTTGGACACATGTGGGATAGAGTAATCAATCACTTGAGCTCTTTTTAATATTATGATTCCTGCTGTGTGTTGTTTCTCCCTATAAAAGCCTTTCAGAGCTGAGAGAATATACAGAGGGTCTCACAGAGGCCAAAGAAGCCGATGATGGGAACCACTGCTCCCCTCAGTCCGGTCAGTCTGTCATCTCCCTGCTGAGCTCAGAGGAATTAAAAAAACTCATCGAGGAAGTGAAGGACCTGGATGAAGCAACATTAAAGGTAGGGTTCATCTGTAAGCATCTGCAGTAACCAATGGCTTATTATGGCTGTGTGGTCACCTTAGCTGGGCCAGAGGGGAAGTAGCTTAAGTCGCCTGCTTACATCAGACCAGCTTGTGTCCTGTGATGATGGGACACTGCAGCACTTGACCACAGTAAGACCTTCCCTTTGAAAAGAGCTTTTTAGCTTGTGAAACATTTTCAGTCGATTGACTTCTTGCGTCTTCTTTGGTCATTTATAAATGAGAAAGGTAAGGCTCTGACAAGGTTACAGAGTCTAGCTTTTCTGTCTCCAAGTTGAAGTTCAGTGCTGTTTCCACATCCCGTGGGCTGCTGGCATGTCTCTAATGGCATGCTGTCCATGGTAAACAATGTGGGTCACAAGAGCTCTCACCTGGTGCTTTCATTATCTCTGCTATGCACAGAGGTGACTGATCCTAGGGCTCACAAGGCCCCCACGCTTCAGCCAAGTCATTCTGAAAGTCCCACTTCCCATATGTTTTCTGAGCATGACCCAAAGGGGTGTGGGGAGGAAGTGGCCAGGCTGAGCCTGGGCTCATGGGTCCTGCACCCTGTGGGGCTGCCCCAGGCCTACACAGGCTTTTGGTACTAGAATGATCCAGACTAGGATGAGAAGATAAGGAGGTTCTCATTTTCTATACAAGGAGACCTCATTCATAGCTGCAATTCCCACATCAAGAGTGTGGGTGAGTCTGATGAGTACAAGGTGCTGCTGGGCTGAGATTCTTTGTGGCTCTCACTCATCATCTGGGACCATCGTCCCCCAGGACCTTACTCAGCACAAACAAAATAACAGAGGTAAGGCAGGTAAAACACAAAAAGCTGTCCTGCCTGAACTGCTCCGGGGAGAGTATTTGCTTTCTAACCTGACAAGAGCCTTCTGCAAGGCAAGTAACCTCATACTTCAATAAAAGTTGAGAGATTTGGGCTAGTACTGGGGCTTGGAGGTAGGGGGACAGTGAGGTGCATGTATCCTTCCATTCCTTTGGGTCTTAGGGGCTCCAGGTCTTAGGATCATAGGGACAGCTGCAAGTCAGGTGCTCTAGTGACTCTGAGCCAGTGAATTCTTTGACATAAATTTACTCCTTAGTGCCAAGGTACAAACAGGTGGCCCAAGAGCCTGTAGGTGTATTTTATTTGATCTGCACATCAATTAAAAAAATATTGAATTCTAGATATTATAAAACCTGAATTGAAACCTGGACTTTTTGGGAAAGTGATCTGGTGGTGCTGTGTCTGTATTCCTACATAGAGCTGACCCTTTGAGCAGATGTACTCAGCTCTCTGCAGTTTCCGTCACTCACGTCTGCCCATTTTGCTCACTTTAGTGACCTGCCTGACTCCTACAGGCATCTGAGTTTGTGACCTCTGCTCTAGACTGGAATGGAATCTCTGACTGTCCTGGCTCCCCCATCTAGGCTAGGAAGTACTGCAGGAGAGAGACAAAGAGAGAGAGCGCGCATGTGTGTGCGCGCGTGAGAGCGCGCGCGTGTATGTGCACGCGCACGTGCGCGCAGAGGAGAGAGAGACCGACTCTGAAGTTTGAGGAGGTGACGTAACTTGGAGGCTGGCCAAGCCAGGGTTTGAGATGACACATCAGTCTGATGTTAAATTGCTCATTCTCCTGCAGTAAAATGTTTTTGAATGTATGTGTGTATTTCCTTCTGCAGCAGTTAGACAGCATCCACGTCACCATCTTACATAAGGAGGAAGGTGCTGGTCTTGGGTTCAGCTTGGCAGGAGGAGCAGATCTAGAAAACAAAGTGATTACGGTGAGTGGGCAAGTGAAGGGGCTTGTCGGAGCCAGAGGCAATGGCTCTGGGGGAGGGGGCACACTTGCCAGGAAGGGACCTTGTGCTGGGGAAATGAGGAATGCATGGCACTAGGCCACTGGGCAGGTCCTGTTCACTCAGCATGTCCCAGAGCCTGGGGCCACGTGGAGAGGGTGGCAGGCCTGGCCATGGCCACCTTTTCCTGTGGGTCCCATTATTGTGGCTCATCCAATCTGATCAGCATTGGCTGCTGCCTTCAGATCACCTGTACCTGACCCAGATGGTTTCTGGTTCTGCCGGTTTTCTGGAGCCCTGCCATGGCTGCTCTGTCTCTAGAGCCAACTGCATTATTACCATCCCATGGCTGCGTTGTGGGCCATGCTGGTCTCATTTGAATTTCCTCGCCCAACTGAAAACAAATCCTCCAGTTCACAGCATCAGCCAGCATTAAACAGACCACACCCTCTTGCAGTGGCAATCTGGCACGTTCTCACCTGTCACTTCAGAGGCAGTCATGTGTCAGTGGTGACTTCCTTAATTTCTTGATAAGTTCTCTATTACATAAAAAGCACATAAAACCAGTAAGTCTCTTTCTCTCACTGAGCACAGCTGAGTATTACAAAAAGGTTCCTGACCCCTGTAGTTTACTTTCTGCTTGGAGAGAAGAAAAGAGAGCTTGCCTGTGAGAAGAGCACTTGGGATGTTCTCTGTCCGTGGGTAGCAACTTCTGCCTATGTCACCTGACCAGTCACCACTGAAACACTGCAGACAATAAGAAACTAGCACGAAGGAGCGCACATTGGCTGAGCACATCCATGAAAACGTGTTTCTCCTTCTGTGTTTGAGTGCTTCTCTTCCTTGCTACACTGATTAAAAGGGCACTAATACAGAGCACTGTCCATGGCCATGCTGACCACTCACTGACCTGTGGTCTGAATTCATCCTACTCACACTTTGGATTGATAAATTCCTGGCATTTATGCTTCCTTTATAGAACAGGAACCTGAGGTTCAGAGGGGAGGTGTCAGAATTTCTAGGCGAGGAGCTAGAAAAATGTCTAGACTGCCTAGGTGAGTGTTTCTCAAAATGCATTCTGCCAAGTGAGACTGAGAATTTCTCTACAAGAAAAGGATTCTTTGTTGAAATAGTTTGGGAATCCCCATAATACCCTGCCAATACTTAGAAATCTGCCATGCAAATTTGCATTATAGACTCTCTAATGCCTTTTGCTTTTTAAAAGTAGACTGTTTCAGAGATTTTCTTTAACCCCGTATTCCTCAAGTCTCTTTGATTTAAAAAAACATTTCTTGGCTGGGTGTGGTGGCTCACACCTGTGATCCCAGCACTTTGGAGGCCAAGGTGAGAGGACTGCTTGAGCCAGGAGTTTGAGACCATCCTGGGCAACATTGAGAGACCCTGTCTCTATTTTTTTAAAAAGTCATAGGAAAAGCCCTTTTCTTACACAATACCCATTAATATGCCATAGTGCTTCGATAAAACTACTTTGGGGAATTCTGACCTAGGGTGGGCGAGGCAAAAGATTTTAACTGGAATGCCAACTGGAATCGTGGTGATACAGTTTAAGACACTGTGTTGGGATGGATTCTGAGGGCTTATCTGGTCATTATTGCTGGCTATCTCTGCTCTGCATGGAGGAGGGAATGCTGGCCTCTGTTCCAGCAGCTCTGATCTAGGACACAATTACCTTTAATCCTCATTGGCCCAAAGATCCTCTAGCATTGACTAACTGGTTCAGTCCTCCTCCAGCAAGAATGCTGATTTCTGGTCCTGACTTCCTTTGGTTTACTCAGGTTCACAGAGTGTTTCCAAACGGGCTGGCCTCCCAGGAAGGGACTATTCAGAAGGGCAATGAGGTTCTTTCCATCAACGGCAAGTCTCTCAAGGGGACCACACACAATGATGCCCTGGCCATCCTCCGCCAAGCTCGAGAGCCCAGGCAAGCTGTGATTGTCACAAGGAAGCTGACTCCAGAGACCATGCCTGACCTCAACTCCTCCACCGACTCTGCAGCCTCAGCCTCTGCAGACAGTGACGTTTCTGTAGATTCTAGTAAGTTCCCTACTCAGCGGAAGCCCCGTGGGCCACATCCTCTTTGGCCATTTGGGGCTGGACCTGATGGGGCTGCTCAGTAATTTGTGACCCCAAGAATGCGTGGCCCGCCTAGTACGTTGTCTGAGATGTATTCTGTGTTTACATGGGCCTGTGTGCAAACACGGGGGGCAGCACCACTCTGGGCTCACTTGAAGCCCAGGGCATCTGTGGTCTGGGAGAGAAGACCCCTAACAGAGACCTTGTGTTTTTCTCATCAGCAGAGGCCACAGTCTGCACGGTGACATTGGAGAAGATGTCTGGAGGGCTGGGCTTCAGCCTGGAAGGAGGGAAGGGCTCGCTGCACGGAGACAAGCCTCTCACCATTAACAGGATTTTCAAAGGTGCATGTCTGGTTCTTTGCGTTCTCTCCAGTTGTGGGCATGTGGCCAGGCCCCCAAAAGGCTTCTAGGCACCTTCCGGGCATCTTCTGGGCTATGTTAGTTTCCACAACCCCATGTCCTCTTCATAGGCATGCTGGTCTTTTTTAGGGCTCAATTCTGCTTTTTCTGCTTTTTCTCCTTTGCTCAGACATCCCCTTGGCCCGCCTCTGTTTTGATGGGTCCTCCTAAGCACCTAAGTCCTAGACTCGTTCAGGTTGGCAGGGCAGGACTCTAGAGTGAGGCAGTGAGGCACTGGCCTGTGCTATAAATTTTAAAGAGGTGCCAAAATACTTAGTAACCCAGATCAATATGATTTTAATGCAGTATGTTTTTAAAAAATTAATTTTAGGCTGGGCACAGTGGCTCACACCTGCAATCCCAGCACTTTGGGAGGCCAAGGTGGGCCGATAACATGGTCAGGAGTTCCAGACCACCCTGGCTAATACGGTGAAACTCCATCCCTACTAAAGATACAAAGAATTAGCTGGGCATGGTGGCACGTACCTATAGTCCCAGTTACTTGGGAGGCTGAGTCAGAAGAATTACTTGAACTCAGGAGGCGGAGGTTTCTCATGAGCTGAGATTGTGCCACTGCACTCCAGCCTGGGCGACCCAGCAAGACTCTGTCTCAAAAAAAAAAAAAAAAAAAAATTTTAGAAAAACATTTTGTTGAGCAAAATATCAGAGTTTAAATAAAGACAGTCTGACTTTGTACCGCACAACCTGGCCTCACGTACCTTACCCTAGTCCTGACACATCCGCTCCTGCCTTTATTAAAATTTTGATATTTTGTTCCTCAGGGATTGGGGTACAAACTAGTCTGATATGGGGGTCACTTGCCTTTCCCCGTGAAATGACTGACTCATGAATGACTGTGGCTACCCTGTAAAACCCCCCCGATTCTTTGGTGTTCCTCAAATCGGAGGTCCCCAAGCCACAGAGCAAGGGTTGTAGAGAGGAGTAGTGGACAGGGAGGCAGTTGGCCTGGGTTCTAGTCCCAGCTCTGCCTGTATCGTGCTGAGTGACCATTCCTTTCTGGGTCTGAGGCTCCTCATCCACAAAAGGAGGAAAAGAGGTTTCTCAGGGCTCTTAGGACTGAGACCCCAAGGGACTCAGCTCTGCCCCTTGCCCACCATGAGCTCCTGCTGCCGACTGGTTTGGTCAGAGAAAGTTCTGCTGTGGCTGCAGAAACCCAGAGGGTAGACTGAGGCTTACATGGCAGTCCCCCCAGAATCCATGTTAACCCCAATTCTGGAAAAGATATTTCTAATTTTTAAAGGTCAATTTGGAAGCAGCATTGGGTTCAATGTAAAGAGGACTGGATTCTAGTGTTAGTTCTGCCATGTGACCTTGGTGGCATGACGCTGGGCAAGTCACTTCACCATCGTGGGCCCACTGGCTTAAATGTTTAGGATGAGACTACCAGCTGCAGGGTGATGTGGGAGGGAGAGATGAAGATTCTGGAGCCAGAAAGTCTGGGTTCCAACCCAGGGCCCACCACTTAGCCACTGTGAAGCTCTGGGCCAGTCACTCGAGTTCTCGGTTTCCTCACCTGTTAAAAGGAAACACAAACAATATATCCCTCATAGGATTACTGCCGTGAATGCAATGGCCCAATACCCTTTAGCTGTAGTTTATTATTATCTTCTACTCTTATTTCAGGATTTGTGAAGATCACTGTGTCAAATGGAGGGAAAGTTTTCTTTTAATATAAACAGTAAAATAGCATCGCTTTCATATGCAGCTTTGAAATAGTGGGGGCCATATTATGATTGTTGCCTTTTTAAGTGGGCACAGAGGACTTCATGCCACTAGGAGGCAACATCCATGTAAAGATTGTTCCATAGAAATCACACTGGCTCTCTTTCCGTACCACCCAATGCTGCTGACCCCACCAGATGTGGAGAACAAACGTGAAGTGGGTAGGATATTGGGTCAGTGTCCAAAGTAGGGTCTGGGCAGGACTCAGTTCCCCAGAGTCCTCTGTAAACTATGGAAAGTGCTCCAGCCAGGCTGTGGCTTGGAGCTGCGTGATATTTCTCTCTGCTGGGGACAACATGGGCTATCCCTTTCCAAGGGCCTGGTGCCCTAACCTCCAAGTCACCATCTTGAGAGGCCTCATTTTAGACCCAACAAGCATGCTCCCAAGGGATGGTACCCCATTCTCTTCCAAGCTATCCTGGATCCTTGGAGATCAAGGATAGGAGGCAACTTTCCTTGTTCCCCATCACCCATGGAACCCATCGTCTTCTCCCTCATTTCAGGAGCAGCCTCAGAACAAAGTGAGACAGTCCAGCCTGGAGATGAAATCTTGCACCTGGCTGGCACTGCCATGCAGGGCCTCACACGGTTTGAAGCCTGGAACATCATCAAGGCACTGCCTGATGGACCTGTCACGATTGTCATCAAGAGGAAAAGCATGCAGTCCAAGGGGACATCAGCTGCTGGAGACTCCTAGGCAGGACGTGCTGAAGCCAAAGCCAAGCGCACACAGCTCAGTTCCCGTAACCGCTGATTCTCAGGGTCTCTGCTGCCACCCCCCACCCAAAGGGGGTAAAGCACAGGGGGCTTCCCACTGACTGCTGCCCAGGCCCAGACCTTCTAGAACGCCACCCAGCAAAAGGGTTGTCTCAAAAGTAAGGGCAGAGTTACACTGGGATAGCTAATACAAACTGCAGACTGTATAAAGAGAGCTTAATAATATTGTGGTGCCACAAATAAAATGGATTTATTACAATTTCATATGAATTTCATGCCTGGCTTTGCAAAATGTTTCAAGTATTGTAACAGTGTCATGATTCACCCCCAAACAGTGACATTTTTCTCACGAATCTGCAATGTGGGCAGAGATTGGAGGGGGCAGCTCACCTATGTTCCAGTTGCCATCAGCTGGAGTCATGCAAAGGCTGGGGGCTGGGACCATGGGAAGGATCAGTCACTCACACATCTGGCCATTGATGTTGGCTGTGGGCTGGGAACTCACCTGGGGATATTGGCCTGAATGCTTATGGGTAGCCTCTCCTTGTGGCTTGGGCTTCCTTACAACATGGTGTTTGGATTCCCAGGATGAGCATACCAGGAGTGCAAGAGCCGGGTAGAAGGTACATCCTGTTTATACCTTTGCCCTGGAAGTCACATAGCATCACCTCCACTATTCTCCATCAGTTAGAGCTGACACAAACCTGCCTGGGCTTAAGGGGAGAGGAAATATTGCTGGGGCCATTTATGAAAAATACAATTTGTCACATGAAACATTTGCAAAACTGTTTTTGGTTGGATTGGCGAAGTAATCCTAGGAAAGGGTGGTGGAGCCAGTAAATGGGAGTACAGGTGAAGCACAAAGCTCAGAGCATGGATAGGTGTGCCAGTAGGAGGAACCAGTGTGTATATGAGGGTATGAAATAAAAATTGCTACCACTTACCTACCACATGCCAAGCACTGTGCTCAGGGCTAAATGGACATTGCCTTTAGTGATCACAGCAGCTTCTGGTGCATGGTTCTGTGCCAGCGTATTGATATGAGGGCAAGCACTGTGGACAGTATATGCCTTATCCAGCTGGTGAGTGATGTGGCAGATCGAGGCCTTTCTTTTATGATTTGGTAGAGACTATCAGCCCAAGGTGCTTTAAGTGAACAACATCATAGGGAATACCTGAGTGCCTGGCCAAAGGGATATTTGGTTTGGTCATCTCTGGATGCCTGATTGCCAAGCTCAGGACCAGGCAATGTGACTTTACATCAGCAACAACCAGCATCCTTTGACCAGTCCTGGGCCAGAGTATTGGCCTCTCCCCAGCCCCTAATCCTGTGAAGGAAGGATGTGGGGGAAGACCTGGAAGGACCACAGATGAAACACAGTGGTAATTCTCAGGCTATCATCAGTGGGGTGGTGTTAATGCAATCTGATGGCTTCTCTAGGGTTCACAGGAAGTGATGAATCTATTCCCAGCCATGGACTCAGAAAACCCAGCTGGGCACCTAATCTTCCTGTAAACCCATTTAGCGATTTCATCAGAGCAGGCGTTCAGCTCACCATTCTATTCCTCCCAAGGAATGACCAGCTTAGAGCAGTTTCTGTCCTGCTGCTTAACTTGTTCAGCCCATTCCATTCAGGATTGCCTCAAGCAATAGATAAGCAATTAGACAAGAACTTGGAGGTTACCATTCGTATCTTTTTAAATTTAATAGAAACACTGAAGATGGACATGGTCTACCAACGAGAGATGTGATTCGATTCAACACTCCCTCCCCATGACCAGGGCTGGACAAGGAGGCCACGTGATGTGGAGGGCACTTTCCTTGCCTGTACAAACAGTGGCCTTCCCCAAAATCGGAATTGTTCTAAGTCTTATCAAGCAGCCAAGTGATGAAACAGGTGGGGACAGGGATGAGCACGGAGCTGGCCGTGGGCCGTGACACCACGAGACTCCTGGAGACCAGGCAAAGCAAGTGAATGAGTGGCACAGAGGTTATCTGAGGACTAGGGATAGATGGAGCGGAGCCCATGGCCCTCCCAGTACCTCTTGTCTTGGCCAGTTTTAGAAGGTCCTCTCCTCCCCAAGGAGACACAACTCCTAAGTCCAGTGAAGACACAAGTACTGCCCAGGTTTCTGGTCTCAAGGCTGAGGAGGTCTTCAGGGTAGGAATCAGCAAAAGGTCCTAAAACAAAAGCTCATCCATTTGCACTCCATGATGCTGGGATTTACACTTGAGGCTTAGTCAGCCAACTTCTTCAGAGCTGACAGGATGAGCGCAATGTCATCCTCAAACACTGCAGCCATCACAACTAACAACTGTGAAGTTGTCTTAACTTTCCATGAAAAGGAATCTACTCCTGGGTCTCTCCCAGGCAGCCCTAATTCTTTGCCTTGCCAAACATCTTACTGATTCATACATTATCTCACTTGTGTCAACATGCAAGAAGCAGGCTACACCGAGACTGGTACTACTGCCTCCACATTTTCTTTCAAAGACAAACCAAAGCAGATGCATTGACTGCTCAAGTGCACACTCAGCCCACGTGACAGAGCTTGGACTAGGTGCATGTTTTCTGGCTCCTGACCTAGGACTCAGACCAGTCTACCCTAACGCGGTCACATGGAGGAGCAGTGCAGGCACAGTGTGCCCCACAGGCCCAGTGAGATGCGCTCTTGGTTGGCCGGCCTTCTACTTGGCTACACAGGGTTGGACAAGGCAGTCCCATCTTAGTAAAACCACTTCAGAGTATGGAGCTCAGAGGAGGAAGGCATAAAAGCTTCCTTGGCTAGCACACCTATAATCAGCTGAACTCAGACCAACTCATGAGAAGTTGGTATAGAACACTGCTTGCCACAGAGTACTTAATGAATGAATGAATGAATTCTAGGTCAATCCAAGAGTCTGATGATTTCTTGAAAGGGTGTTAGCTAAACGATCTTAGGCATGATTGTACAAACTGTAGTTGCAATAGAACACAGAAGGAAGAAGCCTTCTGCCCCCTTAACACTAAGCTGTTGTGTTTTAAGGCGTGCTCACACCTTGGCACATTTAAGAGACAGTCACCTCAGGACTCCAAGACAGGGAAGTTACAGTAACAGGGGAAATGTTTTCTGTTTGGAGGAGCAAAGGCCAAGAACACTGTGAAAACAGCCCATGCACACAATAGTAACCTGCTTAAATGCGATGTGAAGAATTTTACTCAGACACGTCTTTCTTACAAGGAAGGTGGCAGAGGTGAGATGAGGCTGCTAGGGAATGTTAGAGAATCCTTCTCTGGATTGGAGACAGGGAAAGGAAGTTGCGTGGCTGCTGAGGCCCCTTCCAGGTGGCAAGGCTGTGCTCCCTGGTTCTGATGATGTGCCGGGGTGGACATGGCCCCTGTGGGTTTGTGCAGTTTTGCAGCAGGATCTAGAGGTGGGGAATTCCAGCCAGGGCTGCTAGCGGGAGGCTTGCTCTTCCATCTTTCCTGATGGCAGGATGGTCTGGAGGACACAGACCTCCTGCCTCTGTAACAGAGGACAAGAAAAGGCAAATGCCCAAGGGAAAGAAAAAGAAGGCTCTTCTCCCCAAGTTCCCCATGCAGACATGAGTCCACATTCAGTTCAGAATTACTCCCAAGGAGAACTCATCCCTGCTCTGCAGATTTGGCCTGAAACAGATTCACACTGCCTGGTTTCACCAAGGACATGAAAGCCCACTCAGAAGGGATAAAGAAAGACAAATTCAAATGGAAGAGGCATTGAAAATGTTTTTCCTTAAGCTTATCCTGTTTTTAAACCATTATTTTCCAAGTTAACACCGTTTTAAGGAAAAAAAATCTTTTGTGGCATTAAAGCCATATACAAGGTCGATATCAGAAAAATATGTTTTTTCTGATATAGTCCTACAGCACAGGACTGAGGGAGCTGTAGATGCTTAAAAGGCAACAGGGCCTGGTTTTCAGTGGTGATGGTGATTCTCTATGTCAGGGAAACGTGACCTCCGAGAGTGAAAGGCAAAGGAAGGATTGGGGCCAGAGTGCCTCACGTGGTGTCCAGGCCGAGTCCTGGTCAGACGGTCAGAAGAATGGGTCCACCCTGCCAGGAGAGGCGTGTTTGGACAACAGGCAGATGGAGTTTGGAGCATGTGAATGGCTCATCACATGCCAAACCTGAGTGGGGCAGGAGGCAGGAAGGGTGGGCTGCTGCCTCTGGTTGGCATTCTCAGAGAAGCACAGTCCATCAGCTTGTTCCAAAGAGGAAACATAGGCCTTTGGGTGCTCCCAGGCTCCCTGGTGTCCCAACAGCTGGAGTTCCTCGATGAGTCACGGGAGTTCTTTGCCAACAAGTAACGATCGCATTAGTCATGGAATTGCTTCACTGCTTTCTGAAGGTTGGCATAAAAGCGGGTCATACTGCGGGGGAAGAAGGATTCCACCACGTTCTGGGGGAGGTAACCACTGAGGTCGGTATGGAAGAATGTCACCAGGTGGGTCTTGGTGGGTTCCCTGTGAAGGCAACAGCAGAACTGTGTTAATGAGCTGCAACAGAGATCCTGGGGATGAGCGCCAGGCAGGCGGGATGAGCCCAGCCCGGTGGAAATGGCCATCAAGCAGGGATCGTGTCTCAGGCCTCGCTGTGCCCTCTACCCAGAGGTCCTCTCTGGAGCTGCTCATTTTCAGGATGGAAACATCCTGTGGGGATGCATTCCACAGCCCCTACAGGCCTCCAGGAAAGGAAGACTCCCTACTCCCACCCCAAAAAGGTAATTCACTCAGCAAATGCTTTGGGAGAACTTGCGCTGTGCCAGGCCCTGAGAGGAACCAACAGCTGCTGCCCTTCACTGTTGAGATTGTGCAACCTCCCAGGGGCTCCTGGGACCCTTTCAAGGGGTCTGCAAAGTGAATACTATTTTCATAACAACATGTGATTTGCCTTCTCTCACATACATACAGTGGAGTTTTCCGGAGGTTACTGATGTGTGATACTGCAACAGAACGCAGAAGCAAGCATGAGCTTCTGAAGCCTGACATGAAAGAGATGGGCAAAAACGCAAAAGCAGTGCCGCTCTTTTCACAATATTTCTTCTCTTAAAATATATAGTTTTTTTTAAATAAAAATGTTACTTATGTTAATATGCAGTGCATTTTTATGTCAAAATATTTTAAACATTTCTCAAACTTCCCAGTTACAATTTCAATAACCACCATGAACAAAGGCCCTATGAAGTCCTCAAATATATTTAAGGGTATAATGAAGCCTTAGACCAAAATTAGGAGAAATGCCACTTAGAGAACTGGCGAATAATTTGAGCACCTATGAAGGGACTTTGGCCAGGGGTGGCAGAACCTCAGAGGACAGCAAGTGGCACAGACTCTGACTGGAAGTCCAGAAACAAAGGGGCACACAAGGAGGAGATGGAACATAACTTGGTAGGGACATGAAGCGATCTTCGCTATGACAACTTCTCAATCGCCAGGACCACAAGGTGGTATGGGCTTTGTGGAATACATTTGGCATTTTATTTGAATGCAGCTGTCCATAGCCTCAGCCTCACCAGGAACCCCAGGTAGCACTGTATCTGCCCATCAGAAGTGCAACTGTCCACAGCCCCTACCTCACCAGGAAGCCCAGGTAGCACTGTGCCTGCCCATCAGAAATGCAACTGTCCACATCCTCATTCTCACCAGGAACCCCAGGTACCACTGGGTCTGCCCATCAGAAACGCAACTATTCACCGCCTCAGCCTCACTCAGAACCCCAAGTAGTAGTGTGCCTGCTCATCTCAACTGTCCACAGCCTGAGCCTCACCAGGAACCCCAGGTGGCACTGTGGCTGCCCATCTCGACTGTCCACAGTGTCAGCCTCACCAGGAACCCCAGGTAGCACTGTGCCTGTCCAAAAGAAATGCAGCTGTCCACAGCCTCAGCCTCACCAGGAACCCCAGGCAGCACTGTACCTGCCCATCTCAAGTGATCATAGCCTCAGCCTCACCAGGAAGCCCAGGTAGTGCTGTGTTTGCCCAACAGAAATCCAACTGTCCACAGCCTCAGCCTCACCAAGAACCCCAGGTAGCGCTGTGCCTGCCAATCAGAAATATAACTGTCCATAGCCTCGACTCACCAGGGACCCCAGGGAGCACTGTGCCTTCCCATCAGAAATGCAGCTGTCCACAGCCTCAGCCTCACCAGGAACCCCAGGTAGCACTGTGCCTTCCCATCAGAAATGCAGCTGTCCACAGCCTCAGCCTCACCAGGAACCCCAGGTAGCACTGTGGCTGGCCATCTCAAGTGACCATAGCCTCAGCCTCACCAGGAAGCCCAGGTAGCACTGTGCCCGCCCATCAGAAATCCAACTGACAACAGCCTCACCAGGAACCCCAGGTAGCACTGTGCCTTCCCATCAGAAATGCAGCTGTCCACAGCCTCAGCCTCACCAGGAACCCCAGGTAGCACTGTGGCTGGCCATCTCAAGTGACCATAGCCTCAGCCTCACCAGGAACCCCAGGTAGCACTGTGCCTGGCCATCTCAAGTGACCATAGCCTCAGCCTCACCAGGAAGCCCAGGTAGCACTGTGCCCGCCCATCAGAAATCCAACTGACAACAGCCTCACCAGGAACCCCAGGTAGCGCTGTGCCTGCTCATAAGAAATGCAACTGTCCACGGCCTCAGCCTAATGAGAAAGCCCAGGTAGCACTGTGCCTGCCAATCAGGAATGCAACTGTCCACAGTCTCAGCCTCACCAGGAACCCCAGGTAGCACTGTGCCTGTCCAAAAGAAATACAGCTGTCCACAGCCTCAGCCTCACCAGGAACCCCAGGTGGCACTGTACCTGCCCATATCAACTGTCCACAGCCTCAGCTTCATGAGGGACCCCAGGTAGCACTGTACCTGCCCATATCAACTGTCTACAGCCTGAGACCCACCAGGGACCCCAGGTAGCACTGTGCCTGCCCATCAGAAATGCAACTGCCCACAGTCTCAGCCTCACTAGGAACCCCAGGTAGCACCATGCCTGCCCATCAGTTTGCTGACATCATGCAGGCTACAGGTTTGGAATTTGAGACCTTTTAGAATCCCACACCCCAGGGCCGAGTATGGTGGCTCATGCCTGTGATCCCAGCACTTTTGGAGGTGGAGGCAGGTAGATCACCTGAGGTCAGGAGTTAGAGACCAGCCTGGGTAACATGGTGAAAGCCCATCTCTACTAAACATATAAAAATTAGCGGGGCATGGTGGCCGGCTCCTGTAATCCCAGCTACTTGGGAGGCTGAGACAGGAGACTTGCTTCAACCTGGGAGGCGGAGGTTGCAGTGAGCCAAGATTCCATCACTGCTCTCTGGCCTAGGCGACAAAAGCAAAATTCCATCTCAAAAAATAAATAAAGAATCCTACTCCCCAAGTCATACAGAAGGACAATCTAGACTGGAGCAGGCTGGGGCCAGCAGATCCACAAGGCGCGAGAGCATGTGCTCCTCTGGGCTGTGGCTTTTCTCCTCTGCTCGTGCCCTGCTTCCCCAAAGAATGTGAACTCCAGTGGATAGGGACTTCCTTCTATCTTAGAGCCTCAGCATCATCTGCACTCTACCTTCTCCCTCACCCACCCAACCCTGCCCATCCACCTTTGCTAGGGCCTGCTCTTCCTCCCTGCTTCTCCTCCAGCCCCCGTCACCTCTCAGCAGCATCCTCTTTGGAAACATGAACAGGTGAGTGAGAACTGAGACTCAGTGATCATGTTTCCCTCTGGGTGGGGACTGGGCTTTGTGGTGGGTGGAACATGTGAGAGGCTGGGTGGGATGGGGCAAACTCTTCATCACAGTAGCCTTGGGGAGTGGTGGCTGTTGCATGTACACCATTATGTGACAACAACAGAAAGGGGAAAAGGGCACAAAAGGAAAAGGGAAAAAGAGGAGCTGTAGGTCACTCAGTCTCCCTGCAGAAAACGCTGGGGTGAAGGCATCCACTATGGTTGCCAGAAGGATTTAATGAGAGGAGGCGTGAAGTGCACTTAGCATCCTTCTGTGCACAGAGCAAGTGCTCCATAAATGACAGTCATGCTGCTCTGACCACAAATACAGGCTCCTCCACCTTGAGAACAAGAACACCTCTCTCCCGCCCACTGCAGACACTCGGAGCACAGCCACCCCCACCTCACCCCGCGATGAGCCCTCTTCTTTCCCCGCTCACAGCCTCTTCCATTCTAGATGCATCACTGCAGTTAATACCAAAGTCAGAGGATGCCTTGCTCAGGCCTCTCCTGTGGCTTCCCATTTTATTCAGAAGAAAGTGCTCAAAGGCTGAATGTCCCAGCCGCACCCCTCGCTAACACATCACCTCCCTCTGTGCTGTTCCTTAAAGGCCCTGCTCTTGCCCCAGCTCCTGCTCCCGCTTCTGGGTTTTTGCATCTGCTCACCCCGCTGCCATGCTCACTCCACCAACATGCCCAAGACTCCCTGCATTTGTGCTTTGTTCAAAGGTCTTACTAGGGAAACCCCCAGATGACCCACTCACACCTTTCCCTGGCACCTTTATCTGGCTTCGGTTTTCCCCAAGGCACTTAACATCTGATACTTAAGAGAGCATCCATGAGATAGAACTACTTAAACTTGTGTTTTGTCTGTCTCCTCCTGCCTTCATTGGAATCTAAGCTCCAAGAGGGCAGACACTCTAGCTGTTGAGACATCAATATCTGGGTTCAGAGCCCAGATTCTGGAGCCAGATGACCAGACTTAGACTGTGGCCTCTTATTTGCTGGCTATGTGACCTTAGGTAAGTTACTAAACCTCTCTGTGTACCCACCATTCTTACCTTAAAAATGAGGATCATAACAATGCCTTAGGGTTGTTATAAAAATAGTTAATTGATATAAAGTACTTAGAATAGTGGCTGACACACAGTAGTGCTGTTTAAGTGTTTGCTGCTGCTGTGATTATTGTCTGCTGAATCCAGTGTGCAGAACAGGCCTATCTTCACAGAATAAGAGCGAATCATCATTGTCACAGATTTCAGATCCACAGCCTCATGAAAATAACTGCATGCAGCAGGCTCTGGAAGGAAGCTTTACTGAGACACACAATGTTTTTAATCAAGTGGACAGGAGTTGGAAGAGTCAACACTTGAGTTAAAACCCTCACAATGGCAGGGTTTTGTGGGACCCCAACCACCCTATCAGCAAAATCCATGCAATCAAGCCAGGCAGGGTGGCTCACGCCTGTCACAGCACTTTGGGAGGCCAAGGCAGCGGGATCATTTGAGGTCAGGAGTTCGAGACCAGCCTCGCAAACATGGTGAAACCCTGGATCTACTAAAAATACAAAAAATTAGCCAGGTATGGTGGCAGGTACCTGTAATCCCAGCTACTTGGGTGACTGAGGCAGGAGAATTGCTTAAGCCTGGGAGGCAGAGGTTGCAGTGAGTCGAGATTATACCACTGCACTTCAGCCTGGGTGACAGCAAAACTCTGTCTCAAAAAAAAAAGGAACCCATGTGATACCTTTGCTACCTGGCATAAGGGATTCCACCCAAAAGAAGACAGCAATGGGATTCAGCCGCTAAGAAGAAAGGGCTCTGCCTCCTTTTCTGAAAATTCCTCTCTGTCAGACCTGGCACCATTGAAGGTGAATCTTAGCTTCTGACTACCAGGAGGGAGAGGACAAGGAAATGAGCTCAGGGCAGGGATCCAGGGCACCTATCTATTGGGGAAACTGAAACTGAATGCAGGTGTGTATGTGTGTGTGGTAGAGCCCAGCTGTGCTGTTTTCAAGCTCAAAATTTTGTTACGTCTAAGAAAAGACTTCACATCAGTCGGAAAAGCCAGCTTAGCAAAGAGGGTAACATGACCGTGCTAGGTCTGGGCTTGGTAAAATCCCTCAGCACCAAGGTCCACCCTCCTGGGACAATGTGGTAGAGGCCCAGACCCCTTCCCTCCAGGCATCTGTACGGGGACTGCAGGGAACTCTGGGACACACCTGTGAGGCGCAATTTATTTTGCTGTCAACTTGCAGGATAAACTAGAAACCTTCAGGTTTCATTACATGGAAAGTTTCTAGTTTCATTACATGGAAACTGCCCCTCTTTCTAGTTTCATTACAAGGAAAGTTCCTGGTAAGGGCCTGACCATGACCTGTGGCAAAATGGGAACAGAGGGTGCCTGGGCTTGATTCTGAGGCTGATTACAGTGTGGTCTCAGCACTGCCCATTAGGCCTGAGCGCCGCCACATTTGTCACAGAGGAAAAAATGATCGCTGTGTGAAACGTGGGGTGGGGACAGCCATCCTCAAAGCTGTTCCTGGTTGGCTGGGGGTCGTCAGGGAGGTCTCAGAGCACAGGTCCTGCCCTGCCAACCTCCTAGCCTTTGACTCCACACACATCACTTAACCTCCCCAAACCTCAGTGTCCTCATTTGCTAAATGGACCATGACATTGAACTAAGCTGGAGGCTGCAGGGAAAATTTCCTGCATCAAAAATAGTAAGAGTAACGCCTCCCTCAATTCTTTCCCGTGTACCAGGTACTTTCGTGTATGATGTCACAGATGCGTGTGAAAGCATTTTGTATTGTCACAATCTAAAGAGCTGTAAGGCATTATTCTAAGGAAGCGTGATCGAAGTGCTCCTTTTCCCAGAAGGTCCACAGGGAAGCCACAGTCAGATCCGAGCCCTGTACCTCAATGCAGGAAATTATCCTTACCCTGGAAGAGGTTCACAGAAGCAACCACAAGGATGGTTAAAGCCTCTCACAAAACCTGGCTTCGGGGGGCACAACGGATGTTCCACATGGCTGGCTGGAAGACAGTGCAGACGGCGAGTTACAACTTCAGATGGGCCACCGCCCCTCGGGTGCCATAGAGCATACAGACCTGACTACCTGCAGCCCAGGAGTCCGTGAGTGACTCCTGCCTCTTGGCTCGAGTTCCCCCTACTCCCATCCTACTGCCCTTTACGCTCACGCACACAAATACACTCTCACATGCGTGTACACAAATTGACACATGCACACACACACTTGCACTCACACACATTCATACACATTCACACCTACATGCACACAGCTTTCCCAAGTTTGCCGAGAGTGTCAGAGAAAAGAACATTCTAGAACACAAGGTCTGGGAGTGGGAGGAGGCAGGTGCCTCTCTCAGATCTCAGCCAGGAGAGGCATGGATGCATCTACCAACTCTCCCACATAGAAGAATTGGAGTAACAGCAGGGGCTGTGCAGAGGCAGGAGCTCTGCCCCTCGCTGGGGGTTAAGGTAGTGGACAGCAACAAAACCCTCAAGACAACACAGTCCTAGATTCTGCACACAGGTTGTTTGCCGTCCAACTAACCCACATGTCTACAGCACACACCATGAGCATCGCAGAAATAAAAAGGGGCACTGGAAAAACCGTGACTTAATAGAATTACTGGCATGTGGACTGTCTTGCCTCAGACCCCCATGGCCCTGAATCCTCCCAAACCCGACCAGGCAAGGTAGGGGACTCAGAGTGTGAATTTTTGGTGATTTCTGGTTGCTTAGCTTTCCTTGAGGAAATGAAGGGTGCAGAAGAGAAAACCCAGCATCGCGGGAAGGTGTGGCAGCTCCTCTGGGCATCACTCACCATTAGAACTGATAGTCCCATCCTCATATCTCTTGATTAGCACCAAGTCCACAAAGTCCCTGGGAGAAATGAGCTTCATGGCAGCCGAGGGGGTGGAAGTTCTGCTTACGCACAGGGTCTGCCAAACCAGAGAAGCATGCAGCTGTGACTGCTGGCCAGACATCTTCTCCAACTCCCACTCCACCCCCTCAAGGGCTGGGAAAGGTACCAGGACTGGCAGTAGGCACTGTCACTGTCAGTAGTACAGGCACCATAAACAAACAGTAAGGAGCACACAGCTGTGACTGCTGGCCGGACATCTTCTCCAACTCCCACCTCACCCCCTCCAGGGCTGGGAAAGGACCAGGACTGTCAGTGCTACAGGCACTATAAACAGTTAAGATCCAGATCAAGTCTTCCCAGGAGCTGAGTGTCATGGAAACATACCCAGTTTATAAGATGAGAGCTGTGACACAGGCTGCCCACAGCTGTCTAGCTGCAGACCAGTGCCATGCCGAGGTCATGTCTCACAAGTGACCATAACAGGTGCCATTTATTGAGCACCTAGTAAGTGTCTGGCTGGACAAAGCTCTAAGTTGTCCCTTGACCTTTAGAAATAGGTATCATTAGGCTGGGCATGGTGGCTCACGCCTGTCTTCCCAGCAATTTAGGAGCCTGAGGTGGGTGGATCACCCGAGGTCAGGAGTTTGAGACCAGTCTGGCCAACGGGGCAAAACCCTGTCTCTACTAAAAATACAAAAATTAGCCGGGCATGGTGGTGTATGCCTGTAACCCCAGCTACCCAGGAGGCTGAGGCAGGAGAGTTGCCGGAACCTGGGAAGCAGAGGGTGCCGTGATCTGAGGTCGTACTACTGTACTCCAGCCTGGGCAAAAGAGCAAGACTCTGTCTCAAAAAAAAAGAAAACAAAAGAAAATAGGTATCATTAATCCTTCCTACTGGTGAGGAAACAGACTTGGAGAGACTAAGGAACTTAGCAAGAAGCCCATGGTGGAGATGGGATTTGAACAGGGCCAGGGCTAGGAAGAGGCAAGAGAGGCCACTCCTTTTCAGAGCTAACCCTGCACTTGCTCAGCCTCTTATGTTGTGCCTGGAGCAACTGTTCAATTCACCACAGTCCCAACCCTGGGAGGGAATACCTTGAAACTCAATCTCAGCATACCCCAGCAGTCCACACTCCCATTTTATAAACCAAGGATGCTGGGCTTTCTCCCATTCATCCCATCCAGCAGGAGAGTGGGGCCCAGGCTCTCTCGAGGTCACAATGGAGAAGTACAAGCCAGGCCTGCGATGGCACAGTCCTGGGGGGAGGTCTCGGGGTAAGTGACAGGGACTGGTAAAGATCTATCACCTCTTTGCCTTTCCCCTCAGGTATTAAGACATGGGGCACCATCCGTTGCTGAGAAACCTTTCAGCAGGGACACTTTTGGCCTCAGGAAATTGATCTTCAAGTGAACATGAGGTCCCTGGGGGCCCTTGAGCACTTTTCAATGGGTGCAATGGGAATGGATTTCCAGATGACTCTACTGTATGTTTCCTTCATGTTTCCCCCAGTGACCTGCCTGGGAACAGGCTGCGCCTGCACGCAGGGCTCCTTTCCCACTTGAAGAGAAGCACAGCACAATCCCATTCATCCAGAATCATCCTATCATGAATTGTCCCAACGCATAAAATCCTCCAGGGTGGCAAAGGGACAATCAGGAGTGCTGGCTGCAATGTTTAATCTAGGCACTAAACTCTGGTGTTACAAGTTCATGTTTTCCCATTTCTCAAGCATATTCCAAAACTTGGTGTTAGAAACAAGGCAATTTTGCCATTTCTATATTCTGATAATTTGTAATAGTAGTGGTAGAAGTGATGAAAAATTTGAAAAAAAAATTATACTGCTTCCACCCCTGATGACTGTCCCCAAATGCCTCATTCCTGAGGTACAGTGTCTGGAAACCAAGGTGAGAACGACTTTGGAAAGAAATTTTGAAGACAACAGCAGCACATGTCATAAACGCAACACACTCATGACACGGCCCTGTGTCCTATCCATCCATCCACCTAGCTCTCCATCATCTATCTATTTTATAATTAGGATATTTGGGAGGTGGCAAAATCATGCTGAGAAACACCAATCTCTAAGGAAGAGCCCTTTCTCCACATTTTCATTGTTTCACTAAATGATAAAGGGCAATTAAATTTCACTAAATGACTCAGCAATTCTCCGCTTTTTTGGAAACCCGAGCTCACCAATAGCCTGTGCTTCCCCTCTACTTTGCAGCTGTCTATTGAAAAGTTCATATCTTTTCATGGACTTATGAGTTAAGTAGAAAAAAGAGCTCCCATCATCTTATCCAAAGATGCAAAATGTTTTACTTTTCACATTTATCAGAATTTATAGTACAATCATGTTATTTAAATGAATTACACTCACACCTCAATCCAGATTTTTAAAAAGATAGTCTAATGATTACAGAAAATACATAATTTAAAAAATTTCAAACTCTATGCATATTTATGATGCAAGAGGATGACTTCCAAGAATAAACATGTATTATATTATGATGAAATTCAGAGGGCTACATGGAATGGAAATATGAATTCCAGGAAAACAGTTTTACACAATTTCTGACTATTAAAAACTGTTGCTTATGTATTTTACAAGTGAATAACAGTAAATAAAAATGTATCTATTATTTAGATAATCTAAAATAATAGCTTTGCTTTGTTCAAACTTGAGATTTACAAGTCAAAAATGACACGCTTTGCAACTTATGAAAATTTAGTTGTCAACTAATTGTTATGAATAAATGTCAACTGGATGTGTGAGGATGATGTGCCATTTCTCAGAAATCTGTCGAAGTATGTAAGCAAAAAGGGTGAAGACCCTCATACCAGGGGATAACTGGAGTCAGGCAAGTACATGGGGCTGCTCCTGGCCCAGGCTTCAGGGAAGTGGGTGCCAGGGGCTAATCGTCCTCTGTCATCTAGTGCAGCAGCCCCACACAATGAACAGGTATGCTGCCCCCAGAGACAAATCAGGGTGCCCAGAGGAGGAGGAAGAGCCTTACCAGCTTCACTGACCCAACCCCACAGGCAGATTGATGAAAAAGGCAAGCACAGCTGACACTAAAGTAGAGTTTAGCACAGGTGAACACCCAGTTCTCTGTGGTCCTGCCAACCCGGGGAACCGGAAGTGGCTGCAAAGTAACAATGATGAAACCATATCACTTGTCTTGCGGAGTCTCTAAGGGATCAGGTCACAGGGACTCAGAAATTAAGCTGGGGTGAAGGCAGAGGTGGCACCTCCAAGCATGGGAGTCTAGAGAGCTGGTCACCAGCTGGCTTTCAACTCCTGCTCTGGCATGCGTTACCTTGCAAGCCTGGGCACATCTGGTACAGCTCTTTACCTGCCAAACTGTTTCCTTCCTTCAGGGTTTCAGTTGCAGGGCTCCAAACTTGGAACGCAGTATAAGGACGCCGTAAATGACAGTGCTTATCATTTAATCATTACTATGATAGCTCAGGTATCATGTTACTTTCCAGTCTTTCATTCTCTCTCATGGCCCCCCAGCCACTGCATCGAGACAAGTGTAAACATACGAAAAACATGTAGGCGTTTGGCCCAGCGCAGTGGCTCAGGCCTGTAATCTCAGCACTTTGGGAGGCTGAGGTGGGGAGATCACCTGAGGTCAGGAGTTCGAGACCAGCTTGGCCAGCATGGGGAAACTCCAGCTCTACTAAAAGTACAAAAAAAAAATTAGCCAGGTGTGGTGGTGGGCACCTGCAGTCCCAGCTACTCAGGAGGCTGAGGCAGAAGAATCTCTTGAACCCAGAAGGCGGAGGTTGCAGTGAGCCGAGATCATACACCGCACTCCAGCCTGGGCAACAAGAGTAAGACTGTCTCAAAAAAAAAAGATGTAGCCATTTTTAAGTTCAAGCAGAAAGTTCTGTATACAGTCTTGTTATTGCATGTTTAACGGTATTAACCCGTGTTTCCTCAATCATTCCTGTATAATTATTTGCATACTACCTTTTTTGTTAGTCTCTCCAGTATCACTTATCCTGTTGTTCACTTAATATTGTTCTCTAAATGGGCTCACTTTTTACAACTTACAGATAAGTTGGTTTTAACAGGAAGCTACTTACAGAAATGAAAAAGTGTATCACTTGCCATAAATTAAAGGCAACTGCAAAATATCTACACAACGATTATTAGATTCTAATTTTGAGCCTGAAGCCAGCTGCCTATGAAACGAGATTAGCAAGTGTTAATCAGGTGACAAAGGAATATCAGCACCTGAGACTTTCCCCTTCAAGTTATCAGAGAGATTAAAGAAGGACTGAAACACGGAAATCTCCTCACTAAGTGATTCAATGTCAGCTTTGACCATTAAGGACCTAAACTCACCTTTGATACCCTGGAGATATGTGACTCATCCTTCAGGAAACAGTGACATAAACTTCTGGGATAATCAACTGGGAATGAACTGAAATGTGAATTCTTGGTCAAGGGTAAGAACACCTGGCGCTTACAGATTCAGATTTGGGTTCGTCAGTTGCATGGGATTTCACAACACCATCTCTGTGAACACCCCAGAGGGTACTAGTCCACAGATGTCCACTGAAACTGAACAGGTCAGCAACTTTTCCCCAAGGCAACTTTCTCATTAGTTTTGGCTATGACTTTTTTTTAAAATATGAATTTCTGTAATCAACATGAGGTGGGGATCTTAAAGCTACAGAGGACAACACCAGGGCAGGCTCATTTAGATCCATACTGCCTAACACAGTAGCTGACAGCTCCACATGGCTATTTAAATCTACATTTAGTCTAATTAAAACAATTCATGTCCTTAAACTAGCCACCTTCAAGTGCTCTGTGACCACCATCAGAAAGTTCTGGACAGGGCTAGTCCAGCTGACACACATTTTGCCAGTGAAGAAACTGTAATCCAGAAACTGTGACCTAGAACAACCGCCAGCTGGCAAAGAATCCTGTCTCCCCCACCAGGGCTCTCTCAATTCATTCTTATGTCACCATCGAGGGGCAGCATTTCAAACAAGAGCGGACAGGCTGAATCCAGGCACCACCTCAGTATCCTCAGAGCCCATGTGCACTCTACACATCTTCATTCACTGCAGCTGCTGTCTCATTTTGGCTGTTTATGGCTTCTCTGCCTCTCTGAGTCATGAGGTTTCCCACCTACACCTGGGCTGAGGCAGGTCTCCAATGCTGCAAGCAGTGGGCAGCCTGTGTTTGCAGCACACACCTCCTCGCCAAGAGGTACCATGGACCCTTCCAGAAGAAATGGGAGGTGGTTATTGTACCATGGGCCCTTCCAGAAGAAATGGGAGGTGGTTATTGTACCATGGGCCCTTCCAGAAGAAATGGGAGGTGGTTATTGTACCATGGGCCCTTCCAGAAGAAATGGGAGGTGGTTATTGTATCATGGACCTTTCCAGAAGAAACGGGAGGAGGTTATTGTACCATGGACCCTTCCAGAAGAAAGGGGAGATGGTTATTGTACCATGGACCCTTCCAGAAGAAACGGGAGATGGTTATTGTATCATGGACCCTTCCAGAAGAAATGGGAGGAGGTTACTGTACCATGGACCCTTCCAGAAGAAATGGGAGGTGGTTATTGTACCATGGACCCTTCCAGAAGAAATGGGAGGAGGTTATTGTACCATGGACCCTTCCAGAAGCAATGGGACATTGTTATTGTACCATGGACCCTTCGAGAAGAAATGAGGAGGAGGTTATTGTACCATGGACCCTTCCAGAAGAAATGGGAGGAGGTTATTGTAGCAGGGCCCAGACACTATCTAGAGATAACATGCTTGGAAAGACTTACATCAGTGATGCTTTCGATAATTTCAAAACCGTTCACATTCTCATCCCACTTCACTCGCAGGCCCCCAACAGCCGGCTTCACACAGTCCCACACCTCCTCTGGTGTCCCAAATACAATGCCTTCTCCTCGGTACCTGGAGCACAAAAAGGAATTACACCCCAAAGCATCAAGAAACGTGTTTATCATGGGATTGTATGCAAGCACTAGAAGTCTGTCACTGCTCTTTAGGACAGGCTTATAGGGAAGGAACTGAAACTTATTAGCCCCACCTCCCTTCGGGCCTTCAGAAATGGACATTAAATTTTCACAAGAATACGCTTTGCTGGGAGTGATTTCACTAAAACAGTAAGACTTCTGGAGGACAATTGATCACAGGGTTGAAGGGTTGATTTGAATATTTTAAGACGCGAACCCATAAAGATACCAGGAAGGCTGCGGCATCTCTGGTAAGCTTTGAACGAGGCATGCACTTACAGGTTCCCTGGAAACTCCACAGATGGCCTCCAGGAAACTGAAACTCCATTCTGTCAAAAGGCACAGAACCATAGAATTTTAGAGCTAGAAGGGCTCTGGTCACCTGGCTTAGTCCCCTGTTCTACAGAAGAGGAGGGCTCAGAAGCCTCAAGAGATTCGACTCTCCAAGGCTGCGCAACCCATAGGTGGAAAAGCTGGGACTAATCAAAGCCGTCCCCACATCAGTAATGAAGAAAAAGGTCTTCACTGACTGATTCCAAGAGCCGTGGGTGGTTTTCAAATTCTCTTAAAAGCTATGCAATTCTGTTTCCCTGAGCAACCCAGGGCTACTTGTTAAAAGTCAGAAGTGTCAAGTGAGCAAAACTACTCCCGCGCTCTGGCATGGACAAAGAGAGGGGCTCGGCTGTAATGAAAAGAGTAAAGGCTTTAGAGGCAGGTGTTCCGGGTTCCAGTCCTAAACACCATTCACCAGCCAGTTTTGACCTTGGGCAAGTCACCGAGTCAAAGGAACAGATACTTACCACCTGAAGTCCCTGTGAGCCTAACAGGCCCAATCTTTTTTTTTTTTTTCCAAAGAAAGCAATCCCCATTGGAATCCCTTTCAATCGGGTCCAGGGGATTGGGGTGCAGAAAACAACGGGGAGAAGAGGAGGTTGGGGCTTCTGGGGACCCGGGCCCCACGAAGCAGTCTCCGCGACCCCTTCCCGCCCAGCTCCTCACTCACGCCTTCCCGGCAAATCTTCCAGCCTGCTGTGTCTCGCCGGTACTCGAGCATCTTCTCGGCCACAGCCTCGCTCATCTGGGCTGCCAGTGCCGGGTCCATGGCGCCGAGAGCTGCGTTTGGCTGCGGGGTCGCGGGTGCAAGGAGCGGCCGCGCTGGATCCCGGGAGCCTGGAAGCTAGTGCTCTGAGAGACACTTGTAGTCCCGCTTCCTGCCCCGATCCCGCTCCCGAATTGGTCCAGGTCCTCAGGCGGATCCCGCCCCTCCCTGAGATTGGCAGGACCGGAGACTGCCGGGCCTGACTCTCCAGTTTGCGTCAGCGCCTGGGCGGGTCTCGGACGCTGTGGGCGCGCCTGGTAAGGTCCTGCTGTATCCGCCTGGTTCCTGTCCCGCTGTGGGAGGGGCTCTGAAGCGCCGGGACTACGGCTGAGACCCATCGGGCCGGGCCAGGTAGCGGACGAGGTCGACTGTTCGTTTAAGAAGCGGGGACTCTTGTCCTGAGCGCACCCAGTCTTTCAGCCTGCGGGACGGTGATGCGATTTGCATTAGAGGTAATATTCTAGGCCGGGCTCGGGGGCTCACGCCTGTAATCCCAGCACTTTGGGAGGCCGAGGCGGGCGGATCACGAGGTCAAAGGATCGAGACCATCCTGGCCAATATGGTGAAACCCCATATCTACTAAAAAATACAAAAATTAGCTGGGCATGGTGACGCGTGCCTGTAATCCCAGCTACTCAGGAGGCTGAGGCAGGAGAATTGCCTGAATCCAGGAGGCGGAGGTTGCAGTGAGTTGAGATCGCGCCACTAAGGAAGTTAGTCTTTTAGAGAAATGCAGAAAACTTTGCTCTAAATTTCCTGACACTCATGAATTCTGAGACAAAAGGAGTGACTAAAGGAAGTTACTAAGTTAATCCTGAAGTTACTAAGATGTTTACCGAGCTACTCTTCTCAAAAGGAATTCAGTCTTTAATGGATACAACAGTCTGATCTCTGAGACTTGAGAGGGGTTTGTTATGTAGGTGTTGTTAGGAGAGATTTTAATAATGCTGTGGATCATGTCCTCAATAATAGTTTGACCAAAGGCAGAAATGTACACCCCCATGGACTGTTACTAAAATACAAAGCCACAGCTATGCAAAGACATTTTCACAGACTAGGTTTGTAGCTTTCTGTTACTGCAACTTAGACAACAGAGTTCAGGGAAGGGAAAGGGATAACTGATTAGCATGTGGTGCTTTTGTCGGGAGCTTTATGAGCTCCTTTTCACAGCCATGGTTGTTGATGTCTATAGAAAAATGAGCAAAGGTGTTGAATAGGCAATTGGGTCACAGAAGAGGAAATGCAAATGACCAGTTGACTTAGGGAGAGATGAAAACAATCACAAATGCAGTTTAATTAAAATAAGTGGGTATAATTTTTTTCATCAGATTGGCAAAAATGATATAGTGTGACACAACAAGGCGTTGGTGAGGCTATAAGGAAATAGCCCCTTTATGATCTGGAGGAAGTGTGCACAGACGTTTGGATTCATGAGGATTAATAAAGGAGCTGCTAGTGAAAACGAACATGCTCATCTCTTATGAGCTATGGATTTCTCTTTTAGGAGGGCCGATACGCACTTCTAAGTAAACACTGGTACATGTGTGTGCCAAGAAGATACATGAAGACAGACATATAAGAGATGTTTAGTGCAACTTTATTTTCAGCAGCGAAGTGGAAATGATTTCAATGTCCATCAGTAAAAAAAATGGATCAATATATAGTTTATTCATATGATGAAATACTGTGCCACAGTTATAATAAATGAGTTTGATCTATATTTTTTTGCTAGAGCTAAAAAACATAAATATGTGCAATAATACATGCAGTATGATGGTGTTTACTTAAGATGTGCTTACAATTGTTTATGGATGCTTGTACATATATACTTACACACAGAATACATTAAACTATAAACAACTGATCAATGGGTGTACTCCAAACTCTTGCTAGTGTGAAGGGAATGAGACTTCGTGTGGGGATTAGAGTGGGCTTTGACGGTATCTAATATTTTCTGTTGTTAATAACAAAACGACTAAATGGAAATAAAATTTCAATCTTGACAGTTGTTGACCCAACAGTAAGAATATTGACACTTGTCACAGTAGTAGACTTTGCACTGTTCTATGTCTTTTAAATTTGTTTAAATTCAAGACCTAATCCAACAGGAAGTGCCAGAGTGCATGTGAGCTGTGTTGTGCATTGGAAAGTGATACTCGTGCTTTCAACCCTGCGTGTGTTTGGCAACTCTCAAATTTTCTTAGGAATGTCTCAGGACCTGCTTGTCCTCAGTCCTAAAGAAGCACCTCCCCACTCCCACCCAGACAACGGTGCTCCCACAGGTGTCTGGAGGAAAGGCCAGCCTTTTCCAAAACATATTTTAATGTCCCAAGGAGCTTGAGGCCACGCCCCAGATCAAGCACCTGGAAGAGAGGACCATCATGAACCTCCCATGAGCACCTCTGTCCCAAAAGCACATTTCCATGGCATTGTGGAACACTGAATCTTGAGCAGACTGCAACCTCTTGGATTTGTCATGGCAAGATATTTGAAAATATGCCCATTCCTTTTCCTAAATTTCAGGAGAGGTGTTAATCTGTGTGTACTTTTAAAATTGTGGTATTTATACTGGACTTTTCTTTCTGTTTAGAATTGGTAATAAATCTTAGAATATAACCCTGTGACCAAGCCATCTGTGATTCATTCTGTAGGACAGTTCACTCATTTACTTGTTCACCCATTCACATTCAACAGATGTTTATTATCTATGGTCGGCCTCCAAGATTGCTGCTCCCTGGTGTACATGCCCTATATAATCTCCTTCCCTTGAGTATGCTGGGACTCGTGTATATGATGAGATTTTACTCCCAGAAACAGTAAAAGCGAAGTGATTTTGAAGATATAATTAAGATCTCCACTCAGTTAACCTAGAGTTAATCAAAAGAGAGTATTGGGGTGGGCCTGGCCTAATCAGGTGGGCCCTTTTTAAAAAAGTGGGTTCAGGCCTTCTCTGGAAGGAAAGAGATTCAAAGCTGAACACTCTCTTTCTGGCTTTGAAGATGCAAACAGCCATGTTGTGGAGAAGGCCTCTGGCAGGGAAATGCGGGCAGCCTCTAGGAGTGGGGGGCTTTGGTCCTAGGACCTCAAAGAAATGAATTCTGCCAACAATAATGGGATGCCAGCTTTGGTGGCCACCTGGATGATAGCCTGGTGAGACTCTGAGCTCAGGACCTACTGAAGCTGGGCCTGGACTCCTGATCCATGGAAACTGATGCTAAGTCTGCATTCTTTTAAGCCTACTAAATTTGTTATGCAGTAATAGAAAACGAATACAGTATCTAAGTGTCAGTTACTGAGGATGCAGAATGAATACAAAACCGTTCTTGCTCCAGATACACAATCTGGTGGAGGAGACAAATATTTAAAAGACACAATTACAATTTAGAGTGAAAAGAGTTATGGAAGTTTGAATCACGGTGTGCTCCTGGTTAATCATGGTAGATTGAACACACTGCTGCCCAAGCCCTGCAGAATGCCCATAGAAGGATCCAAGGACATCAGCCCGTAAAGGTGAAGATAATGTGAAGGTGGCAGGGGGCACACGAGAGACAGCACTGTTCTCTCTGGGCTTATTGGCTGGATGGTGTAAATCTGGCATTTTCTGTGACTGTGAATCCCTTCTCCACTGACTACAAGGAGAAAGTCTGTTGGCAGTAGGAGAAAATGAGGTCAACAAACATAGAAATAGAGCAGAGAGGTGAAAAGAGATTCCTGAGGGTGCTCTAATGCCCTGGCTCCAGCTGGGCCTGAGGCTGGCTTGATTCTCATTTTTCCCAGTTAAGCAAACCAGTAAACCTTACAGATAAATCATGCATTGCTTCCAATCTCAGTGTCCTGACTCATTCATACAGTCATACTGCACAGTAAGCAGAGTAAAATAAATTCTCAACAAATGCAGTTACTCTTGTCTTTACTAAACTGATTATTCCTACAAACTAAACATTGTAATATCTTTAAGGGTGGCATCTAATTTGGGGTGCTTATTAGAGAAGATGACTTTTGTCTGTTGAAGGAGAACAGTTCATGCATCTCATTCAGATAGCTCAGGTGAGGCTTCAGGAGGCAGGATGAGATCTCTGGCTTGCCTGTGATTTGTGGTCAACCCAAAAGGAAGCAAAGCACTGAGTTTCATTGAAATGATGGCTAATGGGCTTCTGGATGCAGAGAGCCCCACGGAAACAATCTGCTCATGTGTGGAGGTGTTACAGTGGGTAGCCAGTCAGACGTGAGCAGACAGTGGGGGCTCCTGCCAACACAACCCCCCAGGAATGTCAGGCAACCATCAGGTGATGGTCAGGTGGCCATTAATTGTCTCTCTCAAATCATAATTGGTCACAGCTGGCACCAGAGAACGACAGTCTCCCAATAGATAGAAAAAACCTGACACTCCTGGTAAGATCTCAGGAGTTGAGTGAGTGGGTTTAAGCTTGCGCAGTAAAAGACAATATGGAGCCTTCCACTGGTAAGGGAAGAACCTCAAGTGAGCATGTACACAACTCCACTAAGCACACTGCCCATGTTCCCCTCCCAAGCGCTAGCAGGCCACTACCGCGCAGGCGGACAGCCCACCCAAGGGAAGACTCGGGGGACGTAACACAGGACCCCGGAAGCAAAGCCAGCATTTAATATCCCAAGTCAAAGGTCAAATGGTGCACTCCCATCTTTCAAGTCACCTGCTTGGCCCTCTCCCAAGTGTACGTTCTTTCATTCCTGCTCTGAAGCTTTTCAGTAAACTTGGCTGCCTGCTCTAAAACGTGCCTCAGTCTCTCCTGTCTTGTCCTCTGTCTTGTGCTCCTCTGCCAAATTCTTTCTTCTGAGGAGGCAAGGACTGAGGTAGCTGCAGACCCATGATGATTCGCTGCTGGTAACACACTTTGGTGCCGCCTAACTTGGATAGAGTGGGCTAACAGTAGCCGTGGAATAGGTGTCTGTAGCTGTCAGCCTCAGGACCTCAGCCAGCAGCCACAGCCGTGCCCCTCGGTTCTCTAACACGTGTTCACCTCTTTTTCCAGAAAGGGAGATGCCATGTGCTGGCCCATCACTCCAACAGGGGCCTTAACTCTGGGAATCGGACACTGGAGGAAACTTAGACGTTTGAACAAATCAAGTCGTCCAGATCCATGGTCAGCTCCTGCCTCGACGTGGCCTTCCTCTTGCCGGGCTGGCCCCCAGACCTTGGGAACCTGCGCTGGCTGTGGGTGACCTGCAGGTACTGGTCAGCGCCACTGTTCTGTTGGTCACTGCTGGATGCCGCAGACACGGAGTCAGATTCCGTGAGGGATGGCTCGAACCTGAGCTTCCCTCTGGGCTTCAGAGGGGGCTGTGGGTATTGGAAATTACACCAGCGTGGCTTTTTGGGCACATAGGCGGGCCTGTCAAGGTGACCCTCAAAATCGTCTTTCCACGGCTTGTAGTGTACCCTCCCCTGGTGCTCGGGAGCCAGGGTCTGACTTTCAGACCTCTCCCCAACATAAACATGAGGAGCCCCACGGAGGTCCGTCAGGGAGCGTGGGGGAAGAGACTGTTTGATCCAGCCCCTCCTCGGCATCTCCTCCTCCTCTTCACTCAGCTGTGGGGAGTGAGGCTGGCGGGGAACCCAGGATGCATATTGTCGCACATTCCTGGGGTACAGCTCCACAATGTCACCTGAAGCATCTATCTTGAAATGTCTTTCTGGCCAGACATTTGGATGTTTTTTCTTGTAAGAGTCACATTCATTAATGACATAGTATCTGGGGGCATGGGGCCTAGGACCCTGTGCCACCAAAGTCGAGGCCCCTGGTCCACGGTGAGGAGGGTTGATTTGCTGAAAGTCTTTTCGGAGGAGAGGTTCTGAGTGCACATCTTCAATGTGCTTTGTAAACATCGTAGGTGTGCGCGATCTGTTCTTGTGAAGATCGCTGGTGCTCGCACACAGACCAGGCAGATACCTGTAACACAGAGGCAGTTAAGTAGCTGTGCCCGCACACAGACCAGGCAGATACCTGTAACACAGAGGCAGTTAACCCACACCTGACCACTGTGAGCTGTGAGTGGTTCCCTGAGCATTTTCCCTGAGCCTGGTTCCAAATGATGAATGGGTATTCTGTGGATTATGTGCACAGAGTCCTTTGGGGGACTGGGCTAACCAGTGTGCTTTACCGCTGGAATTTTCAGAACCCTAAATCAGTGATGTGCATCATGAGTCTCCATGGAGAGTGCAGAGTGAGGGGTGCTGTGTTAGTGTATTTCATCACGGAGTCTTCTTTGTGTCAAGAGGCATAGAGTGGGACTAGTGTCGGTGAAGCACATGTTAGGAACATAGTTCCTCGTCCTCTCCTATAAACAGCTGTCTGGCTTCTCGAGCACTTCTCTGAGTTTCCACTGGTGGGTACAGAGCAGTTATACATATTAAACAGTTGTTCCCTGGCCAGGTGCAGTGGCTCAAGCTTGTTATCCCAGCACTTTGGGAGGCCAAGTCAGGTGGATCACCTAAGGTCAGGAGTTCAAGACCAGCCTGGCCAAGATGGTGAAAGCCCATGTCTACTAAAAATACAGTGGGTGCCTGTAATCCCAGCTACTTGGGAGGCTGAGGCAAGAGAATTACTTGAACCTGGAGGTGGAAGTTGCAGTGAGCCGAGATCGCACGATTGCACTCCAGCCCTGGGCCATAAGAGTAAAATTCTGTCTCAGGAAAAAAAAAAAGTTCTTCCTGATAAAGACTTGAATCTGTATGGTGGCTCTGGTTTGACACCCAGTGGCCTCCCAAGGAGTGTCTGGATCCTCCCTGCCTCTCAAGACCCCACAGAGACATGCAGACAACTCCTCATATAACAAGACTTCAAGTTCTTTGCTAACTTAGTCATTAGCGTAAAAACAAGAGAGCCCCTATATTTTATCTGTATTGCTTTCACTGTACTACAATCAGATCAAATAGAATTTTCCATATGAGTTTGGGCCAGTACAGGTCTATCCCCTTCATCTTTCCAGGGGTCCTACCTCCATTAAAGTAAGCAGGGATCTCCTGCTTTCTTTGACCCCATGTAATGCATAAATGGTCTTGCCAACAACATGACCAGACTACAGCTAAAATATGCAAGATCTTGCCAATAAGGTGGCCAGTGTGGAACTAAAAAATAAAGAGTATTTTCTTAGGCTAGAAAAATGTTTATCCTAGGTTGGCTGGAAGGTTTGCTTACGGGTTAAATGACAGCCTAGGAGGAAGAATTTGTCCTGTTAGACAAACTGACACCCCCACCCGCCTCCATTTCTTCTCAGTACCAGCTGTCACAGTCTCCTGACCCCATGCCTTTTGGAAGAATTAGAATTTAATGGCATTGGCCTCCTGAAGCTGTTGAGGACTTCACACCTGACCACTGTGAGCTGTGAGTGGTTCCCTGAGCATTTTCCCTGAGCCTGGTTCCAAATGATGAATGGGTATTTTGTGGATTGTGTGCACAGAGTCATTTGGGGGACTGGGCTAACCAGTGTGCTTTATCTCTCACATTCCAGGGTTTCTTCTGTGTTGCAGTGGAGCCTCACCTGTTAGTTTCATGCTCTAGCCTGGCTTTGGAGAACCCAGGGAGAGGTGAGCTGGGAGCCCTGTTCCCTGGCCTGGGGCTCTGGGGCATGGACTGCGTGACTGTCTCTATCCAGCCACTCTTGCTGCTTTCTGAGTCGAAATGGACCATGTTGCCATTATTTTGGGGTGTGCCCGAGTGCGCTGAGGACAGTTGGCTGGTAAGATCACTGTCATTTGGAAGCTTCTTGGTGCTTTCTTCCTGGGTCTGGATCCGGGCTGCAGGGAAAGGGAGGACTTGTGAGAAGACAAGTATCACTGAGCAGGTGACACCTTCAGGAGGGCTGAGTTGCAAGAGTTTTATGACTTCCAGGAGTTGGTCTGAAAACAATTGAGTGCACTGACAAATACACCTCACCAGTGGGCAACAAATATTCTGTCATTCAAATGATTTCATCCCTGAAAGTTGGAGCTGGGCGTGTAGGAGGAATCAAGTGAACACATGTCTTCACAGTGCTCCATCTGATTTCCCATGAGGTAAAGCAAGTACGTAGCAGCTTTGGGCCTCCAGTTCCTCATCTATTCAATGAGGATAATAAAGCTTATACACAATTATGATTCTTTGGAAATGGTTCACATGCATTTTGAAAAATGATGTGGTCTTGAGCTGGAAAATGAACATTGGGCAATGCTATTGTTATTCTGAGACAGTCTATGCAGATTCTGGCTTTAGAAGGTGACCTGACCTAAGTTTAATTAGGCTTAATTGGCAAATAAGCGATGACAATTACAGAGGCGCTTTATGGCATGAGCCACAACTGCTTTCAGTAATAATTATCAATTATAGGCCTCTCTCTGAAAAGCTGGTGGAGCAAGCAAACATCATCCTTAGGCCTTAGGGCTCTTGCTCAGGCATTTTTCTGGAGAGGAATAGGTCCCTTCCAATTAGTGAAGTATTACAGCAGCTGTGAGAGCTGGCCCCTAGAGCCCTTTTTGGTCCCATTCTCATTCCTATAGGCTGTGCCATTTTAATGGTGCCCAGTGAGCCTTCTGGCTCACAGCACTCTGTTAATGGTCTGGAGAAACAGATCCATCTCCTTCGAGCTCCCCATGGCCACCTTCTTCCCTTTAGGCCATACCAGACTTCCATACCACATGCTTCCATTCTCCCTGCTTTGCAGGGACAGGACAGAACCTAAGGAGGCCAGACCTCAGGGAAGGGACCTGGGAGGGAACATTGCAAGCAAGAGACGGGCCACGGAGAAGAAGTACACAAAAGTGAAGCAGGCAAAGAGATTCTTCGGGCTTCTATCCACATGAATGTCCTGCTTTTCCTCTCCTACTTCAGCACTTCCTTCTGATTTTACACGTTTTGGAATTATTAATGGGCCTGGATATGATATAAAAATGGAAGATTTAAAGCAACATTTATATCCCTAAATTTTATTTTATTGTGCCTGGTTACTTGGGAAAAACCGAGGTTATCAGGAATTTTTATTGGTAGGATGTCGCAAACTATCTGAAATGGCTGTATTTTTAAATGCCTACTAACGGAGACATCAGATTGCTGCATTTTTTAAAAATACTTACCTTCTACCATCTGGGCAACCTTTTTCTTATCTTCTGATCTTGCCTAAAATGCAAATGACATGCACGTTTGTTTTGAGCTTAGCAGGAAGCAGTAACAAATATTATTCCTGGGGAAAAAAAGATTTACATGCCCTAGTTTTTTTTTTGAGACAGAGTCTCACTCTGTCACCCAGGCTGGAGTGCAGTGGCACGATCTCAGCTCACTGTAACCTCTGCCTCCAGGGTTCAAGCAGTTCTCCTGACTCAGCCTCCTGAGTAGCTGGGACCACAGGCGTACACTGCTATACCCGGCTAATTTGTTTATATGCCCTAGTTCTTACTTTGGGCCATGACTGGACTACTATTGCCCCTATGGACAGTGTGCTCTGGGCTTGGGCCTGTTATTTGAAGGAATAAATGCAGATACCTAAAAGCTGAAGTTTTATGCTTAGCCAGTTTTATTTCAGGACAGCTAAGAGACCATGTTTAGATTCTGCCTATAATAGTTTGAATCACACAAAAAAATATAGATCAACAACACTGGAGAGGTGTTTTTCCACCAAAATGGCCATTGTACCTCCAAATGAATTTTGAATTAGAAGCTAATTTGTGTTTCTTTGCATGAATTGATATTCACCGGAGGTTTTTTCTTTTTTTTTAAACTGATAGAAGTGGAAGGAGGTTTTTTTTGCAGGGATGAGGTCAGTGAGGCATCTCGGGTGCCACATTTAAGAAGGCACTTATTTTCAGAGTTGTGAAAGGACAGGGTCAGCATGATGCTAACAGACCCTCCTTAAATGTGGTGCTTTGGGAGCCTCACTGGCCTCATCCCAGTCCTGGGACCCTTTCTGGAGGTCTTAGGACTCAGGGCACTAAGAGAGCACCTGGGGCATGTGGAAGAGAGAAATTACGGGAGTGTTGGGAGTGTATGTCTCCCTCGGACTGCTCTGGGAGATGGGGTTTGAGCCCCACGGAGAGAGAAGGAGTGACAGCCATATCTAAAAGATATGAAAGGGCTGAGGCTTTAGGGACACACAGTGCTGCTGGACTTAGATGCGCAAATTGACAAGGATTGGGAAGGGACTTTTTCTCTCTCTTGGCACTTTGCCAGAACTCACAGAAGCACCCGGCACACTGAGGGCTTGGTGTGGTCACAGGAGGGGCACTCAAGGGCTGGAGGCAGCAGCAAAGCCCCTTGAGGAGGAGGAAAAACAGAAGCAGGCTTCTTCCTAGCAAAGGTGATTCATCCTTGGGTATTCTTAGAAATAACCCTTAGACATCTGGGGACCAGGGGGTGGCCAAGAGTCATAGAACCTTGAAGATGTGACCTCCCTGGTATCCCCATGCTGGCAAGATCTCAGTCATGTGGTTGACACACATTCATAATAGCAAAGGTCATGGAATACTTGCGTTTTGGATCTGCATTTTGAGCTGGTGGTTGCTGAGCTTTAGAGAACGTGCGATGCTCTGGAGATAATAGATGAGCATGCTAGGACAAAATAGCACAGGAGAGTGAGTGGGCTGCAGCTCGCTTTTTCACCTTTCAGACCACATTCCCTGCTGGGAGTTGGCAGGAATAAGAGGCTCCCAGGCCAGGTGCGGGCTACCCGCTGACCCTCTGCTAAGGACAAAATACATCAGCAAATTCTCAAGCCAATGAGCTCTGGGAAGGGGCTGCTTTTGTTTTCTTTTCCTGGCTTTCCACAGTACCCTCATTGACCTGGAATTCTGCACTGGTGAGAGCAATAAGGAAGACCTGAAAATGGGGGAGAAATTTTGCCGTCTATCAAGCTATGAGTACAGCATCCACCCACTTTTACTTTTTTTCCTTTAAACCAAAACAAGCCAAAGATACTTAGCTGAGTTGTGAAATTCCTTTTCAGGATTATTTAAATTTCTTGAGAATGAGATAATGATAATAATGGCATTCAGCCCCATTCTAGTGATCACAGCAATTGACCGAATGCTGTTGATAGATCAGTAACTACCTCGATGACAATGGAGTGCTTTCTCCCTGCCCCTCGCTGAGACCCAGTGGCTGTGTCTCCATGGCACAGTACCTCACGTGACTCTGGTGTGTGACTCAGAGTCTCTGTTTGATCATCAGGCTCTAAGCCTAAGTGATTTTTGAAAGAACGAATACATTTTATAAAATTCTTGGAAAGCAGTGTTCCCTTGTTGGCCAAACACCCAGAAGTCCCTCCAAAGCTGGCAGGTGTGGTACTCACAAAAGCAGGAGTACAGCGGGCAGGATGACCACGGGGCTGCTGACGTGCCCCATCACGGAGCCAAACCACGCTGGAAAGTCCTTCTCAATTGTTTCTGACACAATGTCATAAATTTTCTCTTGTCCACTGTGAGAAAGAAAAACATAACTTCAGATTTTATTGCTCTTGGCAGAAAGATGCTGCAAGACATCAAAAAATGGCTGGATGCCTAGAGGCCACTTCCTAACATTCCTCAAATGATTTCATAGCTAATTAATATGGAGGAGGGAAGATGGGGTCATTAATCACATTGCATGTAAGTGTGTGTTGTAATAGTGTGCACTAAGGCTAAATGTTACATACATGTTGTATCAATGCTGACTTGAATGCTAGATGAAGATACTAGAGGGTTTTGCTGGGAAACAACTGGATAATGTAGAAAAAAAGTGCTGTGCACTGTGTTTTCATAAAAGCTTTTCTGTTTTGACCAGATAGAATGCCTCTTCTCACTTTAAAAGGGCTGTATTTTTTAACATGAGCACAGAGGTGGTTATGCTAAGGGAAGCCTGGTATTAAGGAAAGAGCACTGGTCTTGAATTTAAAACATGCAGGTTTGCAATCTTTCTATCCTGTTCACCTGCTCTGTGAGCTGGGAGGAGAATTCAGTTCAATACAGTTTAATTCCCCTGCGGCATTCAGTCGCTATGGGCAGAGCCAGGAAAGAAAACAATTTACCTGAATGGCCCACAGTTTAGAGATGGCTTGTATCGGACAATAGCAAAAATGGTTGGCAGCATGCACAGAAACAGCATAAACAGGAGCATGGCCAAGTAGAAATTGTTGGATCTGCAGATAAATCAAATACCATGTGTTAAGTTTACTCCATAGCCAGCTGCCAGGGTTGCATATGCCCAAAGAGCTGCCACAGAAATGGTTGCCCTGACTCTTTGCAAACTAAAAAATCCACCTCCCAGGGCTGCCTACCAATGGATCTGTCGTACGGTCACTTGCAGCCTAGGAACCTGGAAATCAGTGTTCAGAGGAACTTCAGAGATCTCCCGCCCAACCTGTTTGTCTAATAAACATTTGCTGAGCACCTGTTTAGCTCAAACCATGAGGGTGGTGAACTACCCTGGCACCCAGGAGTTCCACACAGTAAACTCAATTTATGGAAAAACCTTAGAAGCGTTGCTCACCCATCTGGGTCCTTCCCTACTGGTTCCCTCTCCTGTTCCCAGCCTTGAACCTGTCTCTTACGTTTCAGGATGGTTTGGCTCTTTTGTTTGTGATTCCTGATTCTCTCGCTTCAGTGTGATTTGCACTCAGCCTCTTATCTGCTCTGCACATGGCTGCACAGGGTATGTGCTCTGCCTCATGAAGCCCTGATCCCTGTCCCTGAGCCCTAAGCTGGTGTCAGGGAGTTTGGCCACCCAGGGCTCCTCTGAGGGGGGCTTAAACCTGTTCAGTGTGCAAGGCCCTGTACACAGTTCAGAAAAGAGAATGAAGGGTCAATCCATGTCATTACTTTCAACTAGTACTCTCTCTTGGTCTCTCTCTCTCTCTCTCTCTTTCTAATAAAAAAGACTTCACTAGAAGAGAATAGAAAATTTCAGAGTACAGAATGTAGTAAGAAAGTGAGTGATAAGTTGTGAAACCTCTTTCTCTTTCTCTAACCACAGACACACATGCACATATATAATGTATATACATATACATATATACAACATATATAAATATATCAAAACATATATCTCTGAATGATGCATATGTGTGTATTAGTTACTAGCTAAAATGTGAATGCAGGCAGGGAATGGTGGCTCACGCCTGTAATCCCAGCCCTTTGGGAGGCTGAGGAGGGCAGATCACAAGGTCAGAAGATCGAGACCATCCTGGCCAACATGGTGAAACCCCGTCTCTACTAAAAATACAAAAATTAGCTGGATGTGGTGGCACATGCCTGTGATCCCAACTACTCAGGAGGCTGAGGCAGGAGAATCTCTGAACCAGGGAGTCAGAGGTTGCAGTGAGCCGAGATTGCACCACTGCACTCCAGTCTGGCGACAGAGTGAGACTCTATCTAAACAAAACAAAAAGTGAATGCGTTGTCAAGTAGGTCATCAGCAAAAAGTTTGAAAGCCACTGATATGGACACAGGTAATCGTTTATGTCAAAGTAAAATAACTGAATCAGCAAAGTATTTAGAATGTGTTATGAGTTCACCAGTTGGCTAAAATTAAAACAGATAAAGGAAGAAGTATTGGTAAATAATGCTGCCAGACACGTAAAGTGGGGTGATCATTTTAGAAAACTTTTTGGCACTATTTCGTAAGGGTGAACATACGCATGCCCTGTGAAGGATGTTCAAGGCAGCATTATTCATGATGGCCAACAGCTGGAAGCAGCTTAGATACCCGTCAATGGTAGCCAGGATACAGACATTGACGTGTATTTCCTTAGTAAGGTGAATCTCACAAACACAATGTCGAGTGGAAGCAGCTGGGCACAAAAGAGCACATACCATGTGTGATTCTGTTTACACCAAGTAAAAGCCAGGCAGCCTAATGATGCCATTAGAAGTTGGCAGTGATTGGAATCCCATGCAAGTGGGCATGCTCTGGGTGCCATTTGTGTTTTGTTTTTTGATCTAGTTCCTTGTGTTCCATTTGTGAAAACTCATCAAGCTAAACATTTATGATTTGTGCACTTTTTCTGAAAGCACTATTAAACTTCCCCAAAAAGTTTTTTAAAACTGTGTCATGAATTCAAGAGGAGTAACAATTCATTGAAAGAGTAAGGCGTTGAAAATGGCTCTTGGAGGAGATAAAATTGGAGGGCAGGCAGGATTTTGACAGGAAGAGAATTGGGGGAACCCCTTGCTGGAGGGCCCCTGGGTAAGGCAGCTGTGGATGAGATAGTATCTGTATGATCAGATCTTATTCTTACCCACCTGGAGGCTCGAAATACTTGCTGGTGGGGCACATTGCAGGTCAGCACAGCCCAACTCCTCAGGTACATGAGCCCAATGAGTTTGAGAACGTTGAATGCTGGGAGACATGGGGAGAAGAAGGCCCCCATCCTGGAACCATGAGGAAGGTCAGTGTGCATCTGTTCTCTTCCAGCCTGTCTTCTAGGACTATGGAAGCCCCATGCAGGAACCTGGTTCTGAGACTGGGGTTTACACCCTATGCTTAAAGAACTGGAAATGCCCCTGAAGTCCCAAGACCACAACCCTCCACTTTCTAAAGGTAAAACCAGTCACTAAACCTGACTTGAAGGATATTGATTCTATTTTAAAATATTCTCTTTGCAAAGGACAACTAAGTGTCTCTCTTTTCACACTTTAGCAAAGGAAAATCCTCCTTTGGGAAGGAGACAAATAATGGATGACTACTGTTTGGGGCTAGCTCCTGGTTTTTCTTGTGGATGATGAGGACTGTGTTAATAAATTCCTGACTTTCATGTTTAATCAACATACGTTGAGCACCGACTTTTGCTGGATATGGCACTAAGCACCCTCACACATTTCAGTTTGTTCACTCTCTGCAATAGCAAAAGGAGAGGTAAATATCCAATTGATAGACAAGAAGGGCAAATATGGGGAAACCAAAGACATGTTGCTAATAAGAAGCCGACCCTATATCATCCAAACCGGGAGGTTTGCGGAAGGAAAGAACTGAGCCCACAGACAAGAACCAGATCACCCCAGGAAAGCTGGGACTTATGGTCACCCTGAAAAGAAATGCCAGCTGGGAAACAAAACCCATGTCTTCTGACTTCAGTCTAAATCAGTTTATGCTGGATATGCATTCGATCTAATACTTGCAGAATTTGGATTTATTGATGTGAAAATAAGCATAGATATAAGAATATGTTTAATTAGTAAAATGTTTTTAACAGGAAATGTTAACATGTTGGATGTTAGGCAAGACACTTAGCTTCTCTGAACTTCAGTTTTCTCATCTTTAAAAGGGGTAAAATAATAGCAGTTCTCACGGGTTTACTATACGGATGAAATCAGTTACTCCAGGTAGAGAAGTACCTGATATCTAGCACTATTAAATAAATGTCAGATATTATTTTTAACACCATATTTGTAAAGGTATTTTGTAAAATACAGTGGACTCTAGGAACACGGACTTTGACAGGAAGAATATGACTTTATACCTCTCAATTGCCACGCATTTTACTGAATGATTATGAAGAGAGAGTGTTTTCTGGATGTATGGAATGTCCCAGGTTCTTTTTGGTGTATTTCCTTGCTTGTTTTTTAACAAATGGCATTATTTCTGGTCCAACAGGTGAAACCAGAGATAGTGGGGTCATTTAAGGAACTCTCAGCTGCGGCCCGCAGACACACGCCTATGTGTGGGTGGCATGGGGGGACCCCTCCAGCTCCTCAGTGTCTCCGGGTACAGGATTGCCATGGCCTGGGAGGTGCCATGGGTAACCAGACTTCCCAGCTTGCTGCCTCCCCAGGCGTGGGTCTGCAGTCTGGGGGATGGCTGTGCTCGTGGGCCCTGTGTCTAAGTGAAAATTAGGAGGAACATGGAGGGAGGGTGGCGAGCAAGGGCAGATTGGCCAAGGTCCCCAGCAGCCACTCCTGAAGTCCTCACTAAGGAGAAGCAGCCTCTCCTCCCAGCCTTCCCCCAGTCCTCCCTATGAGTGTATTCTGCTGGTTTCTGTGCAGATTTTTTGGGGCTGTGACCAATAGTAGCTTAAACATGGACTATTTTCTGTTTAATTTCTTCCTGTAAAATCCTTAGAAAACCACTAATAAAATTAATACATATGTGAAAGAGTTCTCTTGGAAACACCCTTTCTTAATGCTTATAACTGTGTTTATTATGGTTGTGTCTCATCCAGTAAATTAAGTAAATTAGTAAGTAAATTAAATCATAGCCAGATGAGATGTAAGGAAAGGCAAGAAGAAACTTTGATACCTACCAAATCATTCCTTGGTTGTAGACTAAATGTAACACATTCTCTGCTATTTTGAATTCTCCATATTCAGGCTACAAGAGAAAATAAACTTGTGCATTAAACAAGTTCCAAAGTTCTTTGCATGAACCAATTCATTACAGTCATGTATACAGACTTCTTGGCTCTTATGAGCACTTAGAGATCAGTGCGTGTGGGGCCATCCCAGCAAATGAGGGTTGTTAAGAAGCAAGTGGGGCTGGGTGTGGTAGCTTATGCCTGTAATCCCAGCACTCTAGGGGACTGAGGAAGCAGGAACACTAGAAGTCAGGAGTTTGAGGCCAGCCTGGGTAACATAGTGAGACCCCCTCTCTACAAAAAGAATTTAAAACTAGCTGGGTATGGTGGCATGTGACTCGAGAGGCCAAGGCAGGAGGATTGCTTGAGCCCATGAGTTTGAGGCTGCAGGGAGCCAAGGTCATACCACTGCACTCCAGCCCAGGTAGCAGAGCAAGATCCTGTCTCTAAAAAAAAAAAAAAAAAACAAAAAAACAAACAAGGAAGTAGAAGCTTAGCTTTCTGTACCTGTCTCTTCTTCCCACATGTATTCTCTCCCCAAGTGTCCCCCTCAGCTATGCTGGACTGTTTCCCAGCCTCAGCATGAGAAAGGATGGATTTGGCCATATAAACTTTCCCAACAGACACAGCATTTTACTTACAAACTTGCTTTCCAGATCCCAACACCAGCAGTCACTTAAATACCGGACGAAAAGTCCTCGGAAGAAGTCTATGAGCAGAATGCTCGCCACGGTGAAGAGCAGGTCAATGATGGAGAGCTTCAGCATCTCCTGAAACACAGGGTGTCCCTGGATGCCACCACACCCACCCCTCCCATGGCCACTCTTCCTTCAGGGTCCTCTAATCTCTGTTCATTGCTGTGGGCCCCAGCCAGTGGCCCCTCCAGTGGCATCTTCATTTCTCATCTTTATAAGGTACAGTGGTTAGAGGGATGAGCGTCTGGTACATAATGGGTGCTCAATAAATATTAGGTGATTTGATTTTGAATTTTGATATCTGAGGCCAGTATCACATAAACCTAGGAAAGAATCTAAGGTCTGTGGATCTGAGCTGCAGGAGACTTGTAGACAGTGACTCATTTCCATGGGATAATACCTTGGGGTTGAGAATCTCTGTATAACATGGGTAAGAGTACAGATTTTGGAGCAGATGCCTGGGTTCAGCATTCTGCTCTTTACTCTCTCTGTGTCTTTGGGCAAGAACTTGACCACTTGTGCCTCAGTTTCCTCATCTGTGCCGATGAGGGTGACAATAATAGGACTCACAAGAACCAAGCATCTAGAACAGACCCCAGCATGTGGTAAATACTGCCTGAAACTTTGCACTGATTATTTTTCTTTTTTAATTTTGCAACTTAGAAAATCATAAACCTCACTGAACTTTTCTTTTTCTGTAAAATAGAGGCAGTGGCAGCTCAGAGAGTTGCTGGGGTTAGGTGATGAGATGGATGTGACAGAGCTTTGTAAGGGTGAAGGGAACCACCTGACCGACGTATGTCTCCCAGCACTGGTCTTGTGGATTCTGAGTGTAGAGAGTGGTCCTGTTGGCCTTTATAAGAGGCGTGGTATAGGCTGAAATGCTAGTCTCTTCCAAGGCCCATGTGCTGTTTCTCCTGAGCCCCATTCCTGGCTGAGGTATGGACCATTTCTCTTCTTCAGGGCCTGTCCTGGTTGCAAACAAGGTGGTGGAATCTATCCAATGACTTGTGTTATTTTTGGTAGCCGTTTCCTGGGGAGAGGAAGGGAGTGAAGGAGGGGAGAAAGAAAAAAGGAGGTCCACATATTTATAAACAAGAATCCATCATGGACCCCAAGAGTGTCATTGAAGTGCTTGGGAGTAATCATTCATCTCTCTCTCTCTCTCTCTCTCTCTCTCTCTCTCTCTCTCTCTCTCTCTCTCTCGACTGCCACTTGACTAGAGTTGGCCTCAGAAGGGAACTCAGAGGTGTAATAGATAGTATTTATTGGTTCCTAGTAAGGGTCAGAAACTGTTTTAGGCAACACATGTTAACTCTACTTATCCTCACAAGAGTTTTGGATAAGGATTATTACCCCATGTTCAGATGAGAAGATTGAAACTCAGTGATTTGAAGCCTAGTAAGTGTCAGGTAAGGACCCAGGTCTATGTAACCTCAAAGCTCCAATGCAGTAAAATGACTCTCTGTGGCCTCGCCTGCCTGTAAGCCTTGAAATTTGATGTTAATGTGGTATGCCTTGGGCTAACAACCTAAGAGCAACTTCTTTATTCCTCCCCTTCCCCCACCATTCAGGATATCCTTATAGGTGGGGCAGGTTGAAAGTGGACACCAGGCTGGGCATGATGGCTCACACCTGTAATCCCAGGACTTTGGGAAGCTGAGGCAGGGAGATGGCTTGAGCCCAGGAGTTTGAGACCAGCCTGAGTAACACGGTGAAACCCCTTCTCTACAAAAAAAATATAAAAAATTAGCCAGACGCAGTGGCATGGGACTGTAATCCCAGATATTCTGGAGGTTGAGATGGGAGTATCACTTGAGCTCAGGGAGGTTGAGGCTACAGTGAACCGTGATTGTGCCCCTGCACTCGAGCCTGGACAACAAATTGAGAGTTATTGTAAGTATAAGCAGTGATCTGTCCACGATGATGACCCTGGTGTCGGGAGGAGGTGGCAGGGAGGGCAGAGGTGGGGCAGGCAACCGTCTGACATGGGCACTCACCTCGATGCTCATGCTGTTAACTTTGTCCAGGAGAGCAATGATCAGGCTGTAGAGATTTCCCAGATACAGCACAAGGACCCTGAAAGCCGTAAGCCCACCTTGAGAGACAAGACCATCACACACAAATCCATTGGTTCTAGAGCCCCCACATGGTTCTAGAGACGGTCATGGATATATTAAGGCAGTGGCTGCCACACCTGATTTCCTTTAGAATCACCTTGAGGGCATTTTTAAAACAATAGAATTCCAGAATCCACCTTTAGTAGGTCTGGAAGGGATCTAGAAATTGTTTTACAGCCTTTCCAGGTGATTCTGCTGTAGCCCGTCCTTGGATCTCTACTTTACAAACACTAGTGTAGCAGCAAGTGGGGCTCTAATGTGTAGTATGTGAGTCATGCTTTCTGGTTTATGATTGATTTCCCATGCATTATCTCACTGGATCCTCACAACAGCTCTGCAATAATCCCCACTTAAGGAATAAGTGTACTGAAACACAGAGGGAGCTAAGTCACCAGCCCAAGTTCACACAGTTAAAAAGCAGCAGAATGCAATTTCAAGATATCAGTGCTCTGCTTCTGAAATACAGGCTGGAACCCTCAGAAGCACTGAGAGGCTGTGGGTACAGCTACACCCTGTCCGCTGCTAGGAGTGAATGGAATCTACCGGCAGCAGTCTAGATTAGCCAGTGTTCAAAGACTTGAGGTCAGCTTCCCTAGTGCTGAAAGGTTTTGGAAACATATGGAATGTCCAAGGATGCAGCCATGGGTCTTATTGGAAACCTGTCTGGAAAAATAAGTGAGACAGGAAATGACAGGTTTATATACACTTCAATGGGACAACGTTTAGCCTTTGGAGAACCATGAAGCCAATTGATGGGAGAATCATGAAACCAACTGAGAAAGTTGATGGGAAAGCATCTTTATCTTGAGGAAAAGACTCTAAATTAAAACCATCCCCCCAGGCCTCCTGCATGTCTTCAGATATAGCCTGCAGGCAGTGGGCAGAGGACAGGAAGGTGACATCTCCAGGGGACAGCATTGTAACGCACATGGGCTCTCCCTCTGAATTGAGCAGGGATTCCTGTGGGCACAGTACATTTACGGTACTGAGCATAAGGCAAGCCCCTCAGTGTGTATTCAGTTAGCCTTGGCCAAAGGAAGGATTGAATGCATTTCATCTCCTGCTATCTCAGCATTATCATCACTCAGGTTTTCACTGTGCCTTGGATAGAAGTAATACAGTCTGCTGGTGAAATAATGGAACTGAAATAATACGTCTTACGCTTATTACCAGAATTAGCCCTAATTTGTCTGGGGAAAGTCTCTGATGCCTTTGTTTCTCTACTTTTGAACATGAATAACGAGGCCAATCTGTATAATAGGATTGCCTTTAGACCAAATGCAATAATGGAATTGATTCTCCCCAGTGCTTGCCAGTGAAGAAGGAGCTTCTCTCTTGCAGTCAAAATAGGTGCCGGGTGGAGCAGAAAGAACCAGGAATATGAGCCAGTGGGGTGGGAGGCTCATCCCAGCTCTACCCAGAGCCATGAAGGTTTGACCAACTCCATGTTCTTTCTAGTCATGTTTTCTCCTTTGAAATGACAGTTGAATTTCAGAGGTTGGAAATTATGAATAAAAATTCAAACCAAACTGTACCCTTGCCTATTTTTGTCAGTTAAGTTGTATTGGAACACGACCACACCTGTTCGTTGGCATATAGTCTGCGGCTGCACCCACAAAACCACAAATATTTACTATCTGGTTCTTTTCAGGAGAGGTTTGCCAGTTCCTGAATGAGAGCAAATCTTCCCAAAGTGGTCTGTGGAAAATTAGCTTTGTAGAATGTAATACGTTACAAGAGGAAAGAGGGAGAAACCAAGGTAGATGAGGGTGAAGGTGGAAGCAGGTTAGCAGGGCTCCCACCGCCTCCCCCTGCCACATTCAGTTTAACCATGCCTCACCCAACCCTACTACAGTAGCTGAGTTTATAGACGAAGAGACCATACTCCAGGGAGGAGAGGCAAAGTTTTCAGGAAAATACTGATAAAGCCAGTGCTCGAAATGAGTGTGGTTACTCTGACTTCCACAGAAGGTGTCCCAGGACATCCCCTTGGGGACCCCAGCCTACTATTGCTTAGATCTGCATCAACCACCTGCTGTCACAGCCACTGACCATCCTGGCAAAGCTTCCAGGCATATCCACAGTATCTTTGAGTCTATACATTGGGGGAGCTGTTCACAAAGCACTGACTGCTCTTTTCATGTCTGGAAGAACAACATGAGTCTCTCTCAGCACTCAGAGTTAAACCATGGAGAGAACACAACAGCGAGGAGCAGACACACTGTCAGTCCTCTTCTTGCTTCCCTTTGTATCCTCTTTTTCTGCCTGTTCTTCCCTTTTTCCTTTCCCTTCTCCTCCTCTTCCTCCCCTTCCTCCTCCTCCTCCTCCTCTTCTTCATTCCTTTTAATTCATATCTTCTACCCTTGTCATCCTGGTCCTCTTCCTCCCTTCCTCCCCCTCTTCCTCTGCCTCCTCCTCTATCTCTCCTCTCTTGGGTTATGCTTTTCTTGAGTTGCACCCATAGTTAAAGTTCTGTGCTGAGTGTCTGGGGAAAAGCAGCAAGCCCTGGCTCTTGAGGCACTTACATTTCCACTGTGGGTGGGCACATGGGCGAGTCACAGGTGGCATTTCTGGGCAGGGGTGTCGTACCTTGCAAGCTGGAAGCGCAGCGTGGTCCTGGGGTGGTACATCTCTAAAGCAGCAATGAGGTCAAAGGCTGATGGTGCTATC